ACTGACACCTCGGCCATCGAAGCCGGGTAGACACAGACTAGCAACCCTAGACTTGATGCTTTGCAGGGTGAAGGCCTTATAACTTGTAAGGGTTTCTTTAAATGAAGGTATAGGGGGCCTGGGGTTTAGGTTTCATAAGGGTTAAGGGCAGAGTAAAGAGCTGCTCGCAGACTAACTAACAACCTCTTTTCATCTATTCGTTGAGCGGCGCCGTCAAAATCTGTCAGGTTCGGAGGTCGGACTGTTAGAATATTGTGCTGGGCTAAAAGAATCAACTTGGTGCAACCATTGTGATGATGGAGGTAAAGATGTTGTTGATGATCACCGAGAACAGGCCAAGTGGTGCTATTTCAAGAGATAACTGTCAGTGCAATCATATGTTGCATGGAAATCCAGTTGCCAATCGATGTGTGCTCAACAGCTGCTGCTATGGACGGAGAAACCAATGATGCATGCAAGTACTCCGCTTCATCCAGCTGAATCCCCACCGACATGGTTTCCCAAAACAGGGGACCCTAATCTAGTACCCCAGATAGTAGGATCCTTATGAAAAGGACCCCTACGGTTGATGATATAAATCCTGCATTACCCATAATAAGGAATAAATGGGAATTGCGGTATATTCCTTATCATGGGTCATGCAGGATTTATATCATCAACCGTAATTTTCGGAAACTCCCAGCAAAGGAGCGAACCTCACCACAGCCAGCATCAACAGTATGCCCTTACCCCAGTTTTCCCGGGAGGATCTAGAAAGTATATCCCCTCGTTTGGCGCCCTATATTACGGTTGATGATGTAAATCCTGCATTACCTTAAGGATCCTAGACTATGGGAATTATGGTATATTCTTTATTATAGGTAGTGCAGGAGTTATATCATCAACCGTAGCAAGGGTACTTTATAAGAACCCCCACTAAGGGATTTACTTTTTGGATCCTCCCGAGAAAAACCCATGCCAATACTGAACCAATACTGTCAGTTGTGCAGCCACAGAGACAAAGTAAAATTGTGCCTGAACCCTAAAGCCCTAAAGCCCTCGGCCCTAAACCGGTTCTGTCAGGCAGACTGCCAACTGAGGCCCACGCCGATCACGTCTCCGCAAAAGCTTGGCAATTGCCTGTGTAGGGTTATTACTTGGCAGTAGTAATTGTAGTCTTAATATTGTTTTGTAATTGTTATTTTAATATGAGGTAGTATGATTTGTAAATGGACTGGTTATTATTACTGCTAATGCCTCTGGGCAATTGCCTTGTTTAGGGTTACGGGTTAAAGGCTTACCTCGAAATCCAAAGACCTTTTCTTAAGGGTTATGCCATATAATGTAAATTAAGGGGTCATGGCTTGCTGAGTTAGGGTTTCGGGTTTCAGGCTTACCTCGGGATCCAAAGACCTACTGCTTCATGAAGATAATGCCCCATGGCGCCGTCATACCCTGCTGTTTTGTAGGTGTTGGAGCTACAGCTAGGGCTTCGAACATCGAAGTTGCTGAGTTCACCAGCCCCAAAGAATGTATACTTTCACTTTTATAGTAGGTAATATTATCCCGAAGAGTGTAAAGCGTATCCACTCAGCTACTAAGACATGCATCGGGTCTTGGGCAGCGGTGTCCACGAACTCAGGGCAGCTGCCTGTCACACCTCCGACCTTTGGGAGAGATCGCTTCAGCTCCTCGTGCCTTCAGCTTCCGCCAATTCGGAGACTAAGACCTACAAGGGGTACACAAACCTTCAAAAATCCCTTAATTAAGGAATGTAGCTAAATTATAGTAGGATCCTTAATATGATTCAAGGTCTATTCCTTAATTAAGGGATTTGGAATGTCTGGTTACTACAAGGGTCACTGCGATATACTGAATAATACATTTGTTCACAGGACGGGAGCACGGAGGCTAGCAAGACAGATGTAATGCCACCAGCCGTTGAACAACCCCTGAGCTGAGATCCTCAACAGATTCGAGAGCATATCACCCGCACCCCGAAGCTTGACCCTAAACCCTAAACTCCAAGCTCCAACCCTGAACCCCAAATACCCTGAAACCCCATACACACCTAGACCTTCCAAAATCCCTTCATTCAGGAATATACGTTAAATCATATTTGAGACCCTATTATAATTTAAGGTATATTCCTTCATTCCCTTATAGAGCCCTTATAGATCCCTTTAAGGAACCCTTAGGGGTATATTCCCTATTATAATTTAAGGTATATTCCTTAACTAAGGGATTTTGGATGGTGGGGACACATAAAACCCTGACTGTTGCGGAGTTCGTGCCTTGGCGTGGCCGCTGCCCTTCCTGGCTGCAATGCTTCGTGCTCTGGGATTTAAGGCTTAGGGCTTTGGGTTTGGGGTTTAGGGCTTAGGGTTTAAGGGTTTCGGTTTAGGGTTTAGGGATTTGGGATTTCGGTTTAGGGTTTAGGGTTTTGGGTTTAGGGTTTAGGGTTTAGGGCTTAGGGTTTAGGGCTTAGGGTTTAGGGTTCTTCAAACCTCTTCGTAGTTGCGGACGTTACCAACCCGGAGACTCCAATCAATATCCCTTATAGTTAAGGCGAAATTCCTTAAATAATATTAATGATCCTACTGTAACTTAAGGCTATATTCTTTAAGTCATATAAGTGATCCTGCTGTAACTTAAGGTATATTCCTTAATGGGGGATATTGGTCTGTAAAGACCCCAAACCCTAATTAACCCCCACACATCCCTTGTAGATTCGTTAAAGGAGCCCTGAAGGATCGCTTGCACGCGCCATACTTGTACCCAGAAACTCCAATATGCCTTAATTAAGGAATATTCCTTAAATCTAATTTCGGATCCCATTATTATGATTTAAGGTATATTCCTTAATTAAGGGATATTGGAGTCTCTGGGTAGGGGCAGGGGACTAGGTTAAAGCGGCAGGGTTGGGGTTCGAGTTTGGCGTTCAGGGGTTTGGGGTGTAGGGGTTTAAGGGTTTGGGGTTTGAGCTTTAGGGGTTTAGGGGTTTGGGGCTTAGGGGTTTAGGGTTTAGGGTTTAGATGGGTTTAGGGTTTCGGGGTTGGGGTTTAGGGGTTTGGGGTCAGGGGCTTAGGGGTTTTAGGGGTTGGGGGTTTCGGGTTTAGAGAAGGTGAGGGTTCGGTTTTAGGGTTTGCCTTCTAACTCCCGCAAAAACCTTACCTTCTTCGGGAATTCGTTTTGGGGTGATACCGTAGGGTTTGGGGTTTAGGACTCTTCACAGCTGGCTATAAAGGCTTGAAGGGCCCTAGAGGGATCCTAAAGTAACCAAGATCTTGATTGCAACGTATTTCATGCGGGGTGATGGCAGCACGACATACAATCACGCCCTAAACCCTTAACCCCAGGTCATGCACGTGGACATGGCAACCCTAAACCCTGAACCTTTGAACTCTGCCGAGTCACCTCTCCAGCAGCTGTTCAAACTCCATGGCGCTGAAGAGGGGCGAAACAAATAACGACGCCTAAACTACAGGTATCAGGCTTGGAGTTTCATGGATCAGGGCGCAAATCAGAAAACCTTGAAACGTAATATACCCTAAACGGCTTCAGGGTATAGGGCTTCATGTGTACAGTTCAGGGAGCTTTCGATCCATGTCGAACCTCTTACCATCGAAGCCCTGAGCCAGATAAGCTCGAAGCAGCAAGCCCCGAATATGCGGGGGTTTAGGGTTTAGGGGGGTTTATGGCTTAGGGCTCATGGGGCTTTCGGGGTGTGGAGTTTAGGGTTTAGGATCAGAGCAGGGGCTTGATAATTGGAGGGTTTGGGAATGTTTGAGGAGTATAAGTGATACCCTAATTATCTAAGGACAAACAGACCTGGCATGGACTCCTGTGAGGCTCATGCTGGGATTCCCTTGGCTATGCGTCATTGGCGTCGTTGGCATGAGGACCTGTCCAGTGTCCTACGGGGAACTGAAGGTCGAGAATTAGGGAGTTGTGTAGGGTTTAGAGTTTGAACCCTAAACCCTAAACCCTAAATTCCCACCCAGGCCTGCTTAGGCCGTACCCACCCTTTTTCTTAGGGTGCCTGGACCCAGAAGAAAACCCGGCAGTGATTGACACCAACTCTGGATGGACAATGGGTGGAGCCATTGGAGAGTGGTCGAATTCAGCCCCTGGGCTGAGCCAAGCCATAAGCCCCTTACGTAACGCCGATATTCGCAGAGGGAATTCCCTCGAATCTCAAGAGATTTAAAATACCCTAAACCCCACGACCAAATCCCTTGGTGGCCCGGGGGGCTTCCGACACGTCCTAGGGGGAGACCTGGCGTCTTTTCTGGTTTCTGGCCCCTCACCCCGCCTGAGCCCCCCTGGGCCCCCCCCCTGGCCCCCCCTGGCCCCCCCTGGGCCCCCTCCTGGCCCCCCCTGACCCCGGCCCGTAGGTAGTATTGAGGGCGTAAGCGCTAAACCCTAAAAGGCAATGTTTTGGGTGGTGGCCTGTGTATTCTCACAGGGGGTGTAATTGTTTAGTGGTGGAATCGCATTCGAACGCTACACGTCGATATGCCGCCCCCCCACACCCCTGGGAGTGTTGGGGCGCCATCCTACATAGAAAATACTGCCGCTGCGCGGCGAGACACCCTAAACCCTAAACCCTAAACCCTAAAACCCTAAACCCTAAACCCTAAACCCTAAACCCTTTGGGCTTAGGCGTATAACAAGGGGCTAAGGCTTCAGGGTTAAACCCCAAACCCCAGAACCCAGAACGGTTTAGCAGGGCTACACTAGACGAGTCACTAGAGTAACCCGGAAAGGAAACAAGGCCAAAGGGATACCTACTCGGCTACTACCTTTAGGGCCAAATGACCCTTAAACGTAGGGCCCTATACCCTCATACCATAATTCTCTACATGGTATATGAACCTTAAGCTTTAAACCCTTTTGGGGGTCAATTCGCGCTTAAGGTAGAAAGAACCTCAATCCTGTACTCGACGGCTTGATTATGATTTGTGGCAAAGGGAGCTCGCATTTTTCGTAGTGCCATCGCACACCGAGAGGGTCACGCCCTACCGCTGTTGGGGGAACCTCGGCTGTATGGTGACAAGTGGGAACCCCCAAAAGGGGTAGGGGGTTTGACCCTGTACATGCCTCAACGTCATCTGGAGCTCACCTGAGCAGCCTAGGAATGTTGGTGATGCCTGTACGGACATCCTGAAACCCCAAACCCTTGTAGTGGTCCCTACCACTGAACCCAAAACCCCTAAATCCTAAATCCGCTTAGGGCTTAGGTTGTTGTTTGGGTTTAGGGAAGCTCGAGCATACAGTCTGTCAGCTTTGGGGTCGGACTGATCAGTATCCTGGACTCGACCCATCATGAAGACCTGGCAGGGCAACACTGAAGCCAAACCGTAAGACATCCGTAATTACGTATGAAGCCGCAAGGATTCTCAACAAAAAACCATAGACTTTAACCCCTCATGGAGTCTAAACCCCTGAACCCTAAGCCCCAAAAAGCCTCCCTGTATAATCTTTCAAGCTAAGAAACTGCCCGGAGCCCGCCGCGTGCTGCGCTCGCTGCGCCTCATGCTGGTTGGAAGGCAAGGCTGCTTGAAGACCGTAGCAATGCTCAGAACAACCTTAACGGCCTGTGTAGTATGTCTTTGAGCCTAACAAAGCCTGCATGTAATCTTTGTCTTTAGCAAATCGTATACATATGCATATACAGCATGTATATTCATGTACATGTGCGTGTAAATATGTATATATATATATATATAATAAATGTAGACACGTGCGCAACTATATCTACATATGTATATATACATACATACATACATACACATCTACAGCTGTCTGTGTACATGTATATACATATACATATATATATATATATATATATATATATATATATGTGAAAAGAACATATGGGTATATATATATATACACACGTACATGTGTGTATGGCTTTTTATGTAGACACCCATGCACATACACATACACATGACATGCACATCCACATACGCATATGACCAATTATTCTCTTTTGTTCATTTAATTAACCATGTACATGTAAACCGTTAACCCTAAGCGTCAGTCTTGATAGTCTTTGGGCGACGAGGTGCAGGGCTCAAGGCTTCGCCAGGAGTTTTGTTTGAGCTCCGTTTTCTGCCATGGACCCAACAGGATTCTCTAAAGCACGCTCTCGGAGCCAGTTCCAAGTAGAGCTCCTTTTTGCAAGCTTCATTGCTGGGTGTTCAGAAACCCTAGCTTCTTCTGGTATGTAAGCACTACTATCCCTCCGTTCCGCCCCTGACACATCGATCGATCCTGCCTGGCGCTCTTCGAACTTCTGCGTTCGCTCATCCCACTCCTTGATGTCTTGGAGGCTTGGCTTTCGTCGTGAAGCTACTGTATGCAGTCTCTTCGATCAACCCTAAACGGAGCAAATAAGGGCTCAGGGCTCATATGGGAGCTTCCGAAAATAGGGGACCCTAATGGAGTACCCTAAATAGTAGGATCCTTATAAAAAGGACCCCAGAATAAGGTACCCCTAATTTTCGGAAACTCCCATACGGATAAGGTTCTAGGATTTTCCTACAACACCAATTGAATAATCATAAGCCGGCGGACATCGGTCGAAACTGTCGAGACTACTGTAGTTTAGGGTTTAGGGTTTAGGGGTTAGATCCATGAACCCATAACTTCACCCAGATCGCAGGAACAAAAAAATATGTGACTCGCTTCGGATCCTATACACCGATACACCTACGCTCGTGCAGCTCGAGCCTCCAAAGCGGCTTGGGTTTCGCCGTGAAGTTCGATTTTAACCCTGAAGCCTAAACTGCTAAACCCCAACTCCTATACTCCCAAACCCTGGACCCCCAATCAAACGTTCGATAAACCCCTAAACCCCACAAACTAAACCCTAATCCCAGACTCTGGAAGTCTCAAGCAGCTCAGCCACTGCCGGCCCAAACGGGGGCCCTGGTGCACGCCGTGTGACCTCAAGGGTGAAACATGTTGAAACTTGACAGAGTTTATAGGGCTTCGGGTTGATAGAGTTTGCGGCTTGTAGGGTTTAGAGTTGAGGGTTCAGGGCTCAGGGCTTAGAGTTAAGGCACACGTCAAGAACCTATTCTCAGACAGCCCAAGACCCCTGAATTCAGGAAAAATACTGTAAATCGTGATTAGAAGCCTTGCACATGCTAAGCCGCATCCCCTGATTATGGCGTTAAGCCTCTTATAAAGCTCTAAAGCGCCACATAAAACCCGCTCAAAACCTTTGCCGGGGTTTACGGTTTGGGGTTTCAGGGTTTACGTCAGTTTAGGGATTAAGGGCCATAGGGTTTAGCCGGGGATCCAAAAACCTACCGTTTTAGGGGTTCTACCCCATAATTAAGGGGTCACAACCTACTATTTTGTAAGGTTTGGGGCTACAGGTAAGGATAGAAAGAATAAAGCACGCAGACTTTAGACAAGTTTCGGTTCTCGGGTGGTGCAGGCATTAAGAGTTCGGGTTTACGGTGAATGCCTTCGTGCTACGGACGTGTAGTCATGGCAGTTTACCATGGAGAACGCAACAAAAAGCAGGGCCCTGCGAAAAAAAAAAAAAAAACAAGCTGTGGCACCCCCTAAACCCTGCATCTAAAGCCCCCACCCCAAAGCCCTGCCCACGAAGCATGAAGCACTAAACGCAAAAATCCCTGAACTCCCCATGCCCAACAGCCGCCCAACCTCCAAACCGCTCGGCATTTATGAATGTACGTATGCATGTATGTATGTGCGCATGTGAACACAATGCTTTACTAATTTAAATACCTTTCCCAGAGGCTCCATATATAGTACCATTATGGAATGAGGTCCCCAAAGCCAGAATATGGATGGTCTTTTGGGACCAAATTCCAAAAGGGTGCTATGGATGGATCCTCCGGGTTTGTTACACCCTAAACCCTAAACCCTAAACCCTGTTACAAGTATACGCACATGAACACATCGAGGTCGGCGCGGGGTGGGAGTCCCAAGGCGTGTCGTCCACGATCTGCCGGCTCAAGCCTCCTCTGCCCGCTTCCCAGAGTTTAGGGCCCTAAACCCTAAACCCCTAAATCCTAAACAAGTTTAGGGATTAGGGCCTTTAGGGGTTTAGGGTTTACAGTAGGGTTTAGGGAAGCCCATATTCCAACGGTTTGGGCTAATATAGGGGTTAGGGCCTTTATGGCCCCTAGGCCCATTCGTGTAAGGGTTGAGGGGTTTGGGGTTTGGGTTTAAGGGTTTAAGCGGTTTAGGGTTAAAGTTAAAGCCCTTAGTTGAGGAATCCTCAACGATCTGTAACATGGAAGGTCCATGGATATACCCTACAAACTACCTATACGAGTTGGGAACATGGACCCTTACCCTGTAATGTTCGATTACGGAGTTCAGGGTAAATTTTAGCAGGAGTTCTTAGCGATCTACAAGGATCGTGTCACGCGACTTTTGATACGGGGCCGCTTTAAAATCTACCCCGTAGTCAAGGAAAACATGGGTGTTCGTCAAAGTTATGGTCCCTCTTGGGAGACCCTAAATAATAGGTGCCATATTCTATTAGGGACCCCAAGCGGGACCCTAGTTTTGACAACCACCCACATGGCTAAACGTTTATGGAGTTTCTGGTCGACGCTCGTGTTGCGGGTATTCGGCTTTTGAAGGCTTCCGGGCAAAACCCTAAACTAAACCCCTAAACCCGAACCCTTTAAGGTTTGAAGGGTTTACGGCTTTGTTAGGGGTTTGGGGTCTTGGTCAGGACTTCGGCGGCTTTAGGGCTTCGGCCTTGAATGCCTTTGAGGTTTGGGGTTCTGGGTTTGGGGTTTAGCGTTTGGGGGTTTAGGGGCTTTAGGGTTTAGGGGTTTAGGGTTTTGTTAAAGGGTTTAGGGATTCAGTTTTTAGGGGTTCAGGGGTTTAGGCTTAAGGTTGCGGTTTAGGGGTTGGGGCTTCGGTTTCAGGGTTGTCGGTCTTTCAGGGGCTGAGGAGTTTTGTGTGGTTCACGTTCCCCCAAGGCTGAAGTTCCTAATCCCTCATTCCCAAGAGGTTGAATGCTGAAAGTCTGGGTTCTTGTTAAGGAATTTAGTTTAAGTTGCCATACGAAATACACCGCCATACTATTTACTATAGGTCCCTATTATTGTAACTTAAACTAAACTCATGAACAAGAACTCAGAAGTCGTCCGAACCCGGCCTGCAAAGTCGTCCCAAGCCTCCCGCGGCGTTGTTTCGGACGTCAAGCCGGCAGCGGCATCAGCCGACCTAAAGGGCTCCTACCAGGACCCCCTCAAGGGCCCTTGAATAGAGCCCTTATGTTCCCAAACAAAGGGTATTTGGGGTATAAGAGAGGGCAGTTGGGGGGTCTAGGTAGATCAAACTTAGAAACACAACGTCATGTACTGATACGGTCTAGGCAATAGACAAGGTCTGACTAACAGTAGCGGAATGCAGGCCCTGCTGAAACCGCTTCCTGTAGCATCTCTGCAATCTGAGCTGCATGAGGTCGGAAGCCAGAGACCGAGGGGGCAGAGCTTCATGCTTGGCCCCCAGCAGAGCTCCGAAATCCTCGGATGTTTTCCCAAAGGGTCTACGCTAAGGCTCCGAAGGGGTCATGGGCTTTCTGGGGGAGGGTTTGGGCTTTGGGGGCTAAGGTTTGGGATTTCACGAGGGTCCAGGAGCCTTAGGGTAGGGTTTAGGGTTGGTTTTGGGTTAGGAAGTCCAAGTACCAATATAGTAGCTTCTTAGTAGATACTTGGGGCCCGAAAGTATATACTATACCATTACTTGGACCCTTTGGGTTCTGTTCAGCTGATATAGGGCCTATAGGGAAATCCTAAGCTTAGGTAAGGCTACTCAATCAGTAGGTGGTGCAATAACTCTATCGACCGTAGGGTGCTTGGAGGCTTGCACACAAGGTCTCCAGGCAGTAGTTCGCAAAAGCTGCATAAGAAACGCTTAACACTCTCGTGAGTTACTTTAGGATCCCCTTCGTTCGAATGTTTTGAATTTGAATACGTATACATCTGACATATGCGGACTCGCACTATATATATTGACTCAAGGAATGGAGATGAGGCTTACTTAAAGCTTAATCAATGTCTCGGTCCAGACTTCTCACATTAAAAAGCAACATTACGACTGCTTCAGGCTCCTACTATGCCCATCTCCGCCATCTACTTCCGGATTTGCTGGACAACCCCCCCTGAGGGAAGTGTAGGAAAGATGGTTGAAATACTGCACTGAGCAAGTCGGAGTTCCCTTCAAGTTCGGGTGTGAGACACTAGACTGGACTTCACAAAATGCGGCACAAGCGTCGTGCGGAACTGCGATGTCCTGACACGCAGACATGCAAGCACATTTGTCCCGTGCTAGCTACCAACTACCACCAACGTTCCTACGAGCCCTCTTCCTTACGCCTTCATGACCAAACGACCCTGAAGAGTAGGGAGGGTTTTGTTGGGTTCTGGGGACCAGGCGTTGAGCTGCAAGATGTAGGATGTTGCAGCTCGGTCCTAACCCCCCAACAAGCCCCAAATTCCTAGACCATGCACCCGAATCGCGCCCAAGGACGTTCTGGACAAGCAGTTGCAGCAAAGCCTAATTAGAGAATATGATGCTGAGACGGCGCCTCATTATACCGCGGCTGCCATGTGTAGTAAGCAACTGCTATCTGTTGCGACGGTCCATGTACCTATCTAGTAGGAAACGCTGGATCTGCTCCGCTGCAAGGCCTAAGAATATCCTATGTGCATACGAGGATCCGTACGGTACTATTTCCAGGCCCTGATCCTCCCGTCGGACTCTTCTTGGCAAGTTACCCCAAAGAACCTTCATGAAGCCGTTGAGCCTAACTGGCCGATCGTTTCTAAGATCTTGCAAACCGCAGCCGTTTTACATAACACATCTCACATCAGATGGGGAAGAGCGCTACTCTAACTACTATTCTCTCATTTAGCATCTCGGCCACAACGTAAGGAATATTCATTGAGGGAGTTGGGAGTCTCAGCCGTTGTAGTCCGACGAAAAGCCCGCACCCAAAGATCCCCCCCAAGCTTGAACCCTCAAACCCACAAATTCAAGAAAACCTGAAGACTCTAAACCCCCAAACCTTGAGCCCAACCCTACATCCTGCAAAGCCTGAGCCGTAATCTCAAGGCATTCACCCTTATAGTTACATATACCCTTGAGAGTACTTATCCTTATCCTGTACAAGGAACCCTTATACATCCCGTAAAGGAACCACTTTATAGATCCCTTGAAGGAACCCCTGTAGAACCCTTGCGGGACCTCCTACCGAAGAAGCCCTACCGGGAACCCTAACTAAAGAACCCTCAAACCCTAAACTGCCCTAAACCCTCCAGGAACCCCTAGCCCTAAACCCAAAACCCTAAACCCAAAAGCCTAAACCCAAAAGCCTAAACCCTAAACCCAAAACCCAAAACCCTAAACCCAAAACCCTAAACCCAAAAGCCTTAACCCTAAACCCAAAACCCTAAACCCAAAACCCTAAACCCAAAACACGAAACCCTAAACCCAAAACCCAAAACCCTAAACCCAAAAGCCTTAACCCTAAACCCAAAACCCTAAACCCAAAACCCTACACCCAAAACACGAAACCCTAAACCCAAAAGCCTGAACCCTAAACCCTACAACCCCACACCCTAAACCCAATACGGCTATTGCCAAATATTACTTAAAACCCCAGGAACCTCCTGCCAGGCCGGTAGGCGCAGAATGGCGCAGTGCAGCAGGAGACGCTGCGACGGCATCTTCCCGCCTTGCGGCCAAGACCGTCTACCCATAGGCCCCAAAGTAGTTCCTTTTTGGGATTACCTTTATAGGATTCTATATTTGAGCCCCAAAAAGGAACTACTTTGGGGCCTTTGGGTAGGGGTTTAGGGTCCTACGGTTGATGATATAAATCCTGCATTACCCATAATCAGGAGTATACCATAATTCCCATAGTTTAGGGTCCTTAAAGTAAAGCCGGATTTATATCAACAACAGTAGGGGTTCGGGTTTAGGGTTTATATAGGCTTGAAGGGCTAGCGGCTAGGGTTTAGGGTCCGGAGGACCTAAAAATGAGGAACTTGGGTTTAGCGTCTTTCTTAGATTCCCAGTCCAAGGTTTAGCTATGCACATGGAGGTCAAAACTCCGGATGATGATTAGGGACTCGGACCCTTACGGACAGGATCGAGCTTCGGGTTTAAGGTTTAGGCTTTAAGGCTCGGGCTCGGGAGTTCCGTTCTCAAACCCAACACGTTTTTCGGGTTTTGCCCCGAAACCCTATACAGCTTAACACCCTGCACTCAAAACTCCTCAACATAAGCTTTTGCCCGAGCATCTGAAGCGAAAATCAAGACGTCGGTCTGCGTCGTGGAGCCTGGACGAATTTTCTAAGGCTCCATGTGCCCATATTATAGCACATACTCAAACCTTAAAGTACCTATACAGGGGCCCCTTTACGGCCTAAATATCTATAAAGGTACATGGAGCCTGACGAATTTCTGACTTCAGGAAATGGTTTCTCTAAGATATAAAGAATTACAGTTTAGGGCTTTGGGTTTGGGTTTACAGTTTAGAGTATTGAATTGGAATTAACTCGCGGTGCTGGCTTTCGGGTACTTCCAACGGCAAAAGAGTCGTTGCACGACACTTCTGAACCCCTGGCTTACTTGTCCAGACAAGTCGATATGGCACCACTAAGCCGCAAACCCTCCCTAAACCCTAAACCCTAAACCCTAAACCCCAAATCCTAAGTCAAACTCTAAACCCCAAGACCTACGCCCTGAACCCTACACGCTAAACCTCAAAGCTTGAGCCTCAACCCCTGCACTTAACCTTTATTTTAGGGTTTAGGGTTTAGGGGTTTAGGGGTTTAGGGTTTAGGGTTTAGGGGTTTAGGGGTTTAGGGTTTAGGGTTTAGGGACATTCAAAGCCAGAGAGAGCGCGGCCAAGGGTGGGCTCTAGGGATTCGCGACGTGCTGAACTGATGTTTTAGCCTAAGGCCCCCCCCCCCTCAAACGAATACACGAACAAGTACCCATTTACTTGCTTTCCAACGCACCACCTAGCACAAAACTAGAGTATTGGCTTTGGGCTCAAGGTAAGACTTTACGGGCGTGTACATGAGTTTACAATCGTGACGCTTCAACTCAGGATTATGATGGCCAGCCTATACTATGCTATGACACCCTGAATTCTAGAAACCCTGTTGAAAAAAAACCTTGAAGGGACCCCGTAGAGGAACCCTACTCACTAAATCGGGATGGTCTCGGTCAATATTCAAGTCGGATCGCAGAAATAACGGACAAGGTTTGCTCACTCAGGCTTAGTGACACGGAACACCACTCTGCTTATACTGGCCTGTCTCCCACGACAGGGTGCCCCAAGGCCACCGAATGAAGGAGAAGCTGTTGCGGCAACCGCGTCACCTGCCATGCATAAGCACCGAGAGCACAGTTCCAAGCAACAACCATTCAGAGTCATCACAGAAATCATCAAATGTCGATCTCCAGTATTTGAAGTGATCGTAGAAGCGACGATGACACAGACGAGGACGATGAAGAAGATATTGATGCCGACGACGATGGATGATGACAATGATGATGGAAGTCGTCGTGGTGGCGGTGATGCCGCCGACGACAGCAGTAGACCTAAATTCAAGAGTTGCTGACGAACTGCGTGGGCTCTGAGCCAGTATTGGTAAACTGCAGCCTGTCGGAGCATGAACGAACATATGGTGTCGTACATGCAATGCAGCAAGCAGCATGGCTTCTCTGGGTACTTGGAGGGTCCTAAAAGGGACCCTAATTGGGGTTATGGTACTTATAAGTCCTTAAGATAACCAGTTACTAAGTCCCCCGACCCTCCAAGTACAAGCCCAAGTGAGAGAGGTCTCGCACTCCGCTGTGTAGGCCTCCGAATGCCTCTGAAACGACTCATCCATGTGGAAATTCAACCTTTCTGAACATGAATGAACAATCTTCGTGGCTTCCGGGTGAAGGCTTCGGTGCTTAGGTTGTGGGCCTAGGATCTGGGGCCGTTAAAGTTAAGCAGGATCTACAAAGACTGCAATCACCCATAGGCGCCTTTGTAGTTCCTTTTTGGGATTACCTTATAGGATCCTAAATAGGAACCACAGAAAGGAACTACAATGGAGCCTACGGGGACTAACATGTTCCTCAAGATTGTGCCCAGCTGCAGGACGAGCATAAATCAGCGTGCAAACCTCGCCCTGGCCGTGGAGGAGTTTTCGCACGGATGGGCTGGGGGAGTGCTCGCTTTGCCTGTCGCCTCAAATCATTTGGGTTTAGGGTTACCCCTAGGCTCCATAATAGTCCCTCTTTGGGGTTCATATTTAGAATACTAACAGCAACTACTAATGAGCCCTATGGGTATGATGGGATGGGACGGAGAAACTCTGACTTAGGACTTGAGGCATGTCCGGGGGCCTGGCTAGTCGCATGTCCCAGTAAGGTTGCAGGCTAAACCCCTAAAAATCAAAATAGCCCAAAAGCCTTATATAGTATGGTCTTTGGGCCCAAAAGCCTTAATATGTGAGTCGTTAGATCCCTGGGGAACTTCAATGTGATCACATGGGCGGTTGTCGAAATTAGGGTCCCTCTTGTGGGTCCCCATTATAATACGGCACCTATTATTTAGGGTAACCAAAAAGGGACCATAATTTTGACAACCACCCACATGTACCCTAAATCTCCAAAACCCAGACCCCAAACTCAAAGTAGAGGTTAACAGGTAAGTACACTGAGCAAGTACGATGAATAGGAATTTTGTGAAGCTCGTCCACTTCCTCCCACCAAGAGTCTCAGTCAGTATTTCCAGGGACTTAATACACACAATGAATATCCTCTTATAGCTCCTGCAGTTAAATATACTGTAGTATTTCAAGATTTTCAGTAGCCCTATCTGTTGCCTTCAACGGGAACCGCTTCGAACCATGCTGCCTCACAGCTTCTAGCTTCTCCAGAGCCAGTTCCCGACATGCGGAAAAATTGCATGGTATGCACTGAACCCAATCTTGAAGCAGATTTTTCGAATGCAGAGAGTCTTAGACCCTAACCCCTGGACCCTAAACAGCAGTGCCGTTGCTACTTCCTAATTCTTCCGGTTCCCACAGTGTACTACCATTACTGCATAGGACGAAAGAGGTGAACTATGACGGACTGGTGGGGTTCGCAGCCAGGATCGCATATCAATGCCACCATCAGAGAATTTCGGTAGCAATTTGCTATGGCTCCTTATTGAGGCTCCCATGTTGGAGCGGGCGCTGCAGGCACATGTTAATATACAGGGGCCTTAATAATCAGAATAGGGTCTGGGGTATAGACAATATTCAGAATAAGGAAACCCCAAACCCTATTTTAATTATTAAGGCCCCGACAGTACTATCAGAAGCTCGCAACTGACAGAAGGAACAAGCAAGAAGTCGTTGAGTCTCCCAAGCCAGATGCCCGAATATCCGACTCCCACGATCCTGGAAAGTGCCGTGAAGGACACCGTGGAACAAGGTGCAGGCTTCTACTCCTGCGCGTGATTCTGGGGTGACCCACAGGCTTCATTGTATTTTGCTTTTTGCGATTACCGTATAGTATCCTGAATATAAACCACAAAAAGGAACGTTTAAGGTTTAGGGTTTGGGAACCCGTAACCCTAGACCCTGCCAGCTTTGGGCGCTTCAATACTTCAGGGTTTGGGATTTCACCTCTAGGATTCAGGGCTTCAAGCCTGCGGATTGCTCTTCAAGCTGTGGGACTCGGTAGTCGTGAGGATGAGCTCAAGGCTTAGGGTACCTGGGACCCAAGGAGCTTACATTTTTTACCGCTCCCTAATCTCATTTCCTTATACTAAATGTAGGTCCTTAAACCCGAAACCCTAAAGGTAACTTAGACTCCAGGTGAGCAGTGATAAGGGTATGCTTTGGGACGTAGCTTCGCACTTGGCAGACCGAGGGCTGCAGCCCTGTCCATATTCCCAGAGACTCCAATATCCCTTAATTAATGAACAAACGTGAAATTATAGTAGGATCCCTAACATGATTTAAGGAATCTTCCTTAAACAAGGGAGGTTAGCTGAATATCAAGCTACCGCCCATGAGCCTGTAACTCTTTTTGGCCAGGAAGGTTTGAGGCTTAGGGTTTAGCTCTGCTTTTGCCTCTTGGGTCCTCAGCTCAACATCCAAGATCCTACGCTCTAGCTGGCCTACCCAAAGGCTCCATGTACCCATATAGTAGGTACTCAGGCCTTAAAGTACCCATACAGTGACCCCATTAAGGCCTAAGTACCTACTATATTTACACATGGAGCCTTAGGGCTAAACCCTGGACTCTGCTTCTGCAATTCCAGTGGAGGGTTGCAGGGAGGGCAATCCTTGTCAGGGTACGTCTAGTTTATATACTACTATTACTAAACCCAACAAGCCTTTACGAGGCCATATGCGAAGCGCCTCAATACGCCGCCCCTATACAACCCTACAAACTCAAAAAAGAAACGAATAAGATCCTAATTATGCCATTCACTGAAACACCCATGCGCAAATTCGTGAAAACACTTTATATAATCAACTTGCTAGTACCCTGCTGAAACCTATATATCCAACCTGCAAAACTCCCTGCGATGCCGTGCAGATCAAAGATCGCCTTCGGTGCGGCGGCCACTCAGCCGCCACGCCCGCGAGCCCTCCGTTCGAGCTGTGGGCGAAGAAGGGCCAGCAAAAGGAGGCTTAAGGGTTAGTGTTTAGGGGTTTAGGTAACAAGCTTTTACAAGGTGCTTTCTTTGCAATGGGTTTTTTAATTGAAGGTTCTGTAGAGTTTCATGCGGCGGTTTACAATGCTTTCATAGGGGGCATTGCGAGGCCCGTTGCAGAACTCGATGTCAAGACTGAACCCAAGCAGAAGACACCGTGCCTGCCCTCTTAATTAACTTAAAGGATGGTCAAAGTGCAGCCAAACCCTCCTCACTACGTGGAGAGCACGTGCGGCAACCCCACAAATCCCTTGCCGCAAACGTCCTAAAACCCAAAGCCACTCAACTCTAAACCCAAACCCCCAAACCCTGAACCCTCAACCCGTAAACCCCTAGGCCCTGGAACCTAAACCCCAAAACTCTCAAACTCCTAAGCACCAAAGTCTCCTACACTACTACTAAGTCCCGTCCAAGTAGACCCTAAACCATAAACCCCATAGATCCCTGTAAGGAACCCTCTAGATCCCTTTAAGGAAAGTCAACTCCACCCTGATCCTGAAAGGCCCAAGAACCTAAACCTCTAAACCCCAAAACTCTCAGACCCCTAAGCCCCAAAAACTCCTCCACCCCTACTTGGAGGGGCAGGGGACTTAGTAATTAGGTTATCAGTACCCTAATTGGAGTTACCCCAATTGTATCCCTATACTTATAACCTAATTATTGCTAAGTCCGCTACCCTAAACCCTACACCCTAAACTCGACCGTGATGCTGAAAGGCCCACAACCAAGGCCTCGCTGGGCTGGCAAAGGCGCGACCGGACTGTGATGGTCTCGTTCAAAGCCAGGCGGCCCCTGCTTAGGGGTTGGGGTTTGGGGTCTAGGGTCTAGGTTTCAGGGCAGGTAAGGTCGCTCTGACAAGGTTTCAGGTTCTAGGATCTTTTGAATTTCCTTAGGGATCTAAGGACTCATATATTAAGGCTTATTAAGGCTTTGGGGGCTATTTTGATCCCTAGGGTTCAGGGTTCAAAGCCAGGCGGCCCCTGCTTTTTAGGGAATCCCTGAGGGTTCCGGGCTTAGGGTTTACAGGGGTTTAGGGTCTAGGGTTGGTTTTGGATTTTTTTTTTTTAAATGCATGGTTTTGGATTTTTTTTTTAAAGTGCATGGTTTTGGAATTTTGGGTTTAGGGTCATTAGAGTTTCGGGTTCAGGGTTCACAGCCAGGCGGCGCTTTTCTAGGGAATCCGGTGTTCCACGGTTTAGGGCTCAGCATTAAACCAGGCAGTCTCTTCTTGGTGGGAATCTTCGGTGGGTTTTTTCGGGTTTAGGGCCCCGAGTTCGACGGATTTCAAGACTGGCGGGCTGTGGGGGCTTTGCGATTTAGGGTTTTAGGGTTATGGGTTTTGGGCGTACATCAGTGCAAGAGTGTGGAGTTTGGTTGACTCAACTCAAGAAAAGCACATAACTTCCAACAGTTTTAGTAAGCCCTGCTCCCAAGACCCTGGAGTTATCATTGACAATCGGTGCCTAACCCTAGGGATCAACACAGCCCAACAGCCTTATATAGATTGGTAATATATGAGTCCTTAGACCCTTAGGGTAAAATAGTTGACTATATCCCTGAAACCCTTCTAGAATTACTAAGGCCCCTGCGTTCTCTCTGTCAGGATGAAAGATACGGTTGATAATATAAATCCTGCATTACCTTCAGGATCCTTAACTATGGGAGTTATGGTAGATTTCCTTATTGCATGAGTAATGCAGGATTTATATCATCCACCGTATCATGCAAGTTTGGTGCCTTCAAATCTCGAGCGATATGCAGTGAGGCAAGAGGGTCAGGGGCTGGGAGAGGTTAGAGTGATGTATCCAAAGAATCTACCCAGACCTTGCAAAATCCCTTAATTAAGCAATATACCTTTAAATCATATTAGGGACCCTACTATAATTTAAGGTATATTCCTTAATTAAGCTGTTTTGGAAGGTCTGGGTATACGGGTGTTGCAAGGTAATGTACAGTTTTCTCATAGGGGGTTCGAGTGACGTGTCCCAAGCCTCGAACTTCTTACAGGATCATGGGACTTAGTAAAGTAGGTTATAATTGGGGTTATAAGTCCCCCAAGTGGGGTTATCCTAATTGTAACCTACTTATAACCTTACTTACTAAGTCCCATGAGCCTTCAAGTTTGCTGTCAACAAGGCAGTCTTGAAGTCTTAAACGAAGCCAGCGGAAAGGAATACGGATCTCCTTGTGATCTCGCGCCTGGGGGTTTCTATTTCTAATTATGATGTGGTTGTAGAAGGTTATGCCTGGCAATTCCGACCTCAAAATTGTATCTATCCCCTTACATATTGCTGAACCTGAAACTTCCGAAGTCCTAAACCCTAAACCTTCAACTTCTTAAGGGGTAAACCGCTGTCCTCTCTTCCACCCTAAAAGCCTCAGCACGGCTGCGTGGAGGTCCGTTACCTTTGATGCAGCTCCTCGGAACCGTTCATGGAGGATCGAATACCCTGAAACCGAACCTCGATGTGTGTGTGTGTGTGTGTGTGTGTGCGTGTATGTAGTCATCCATGCATACATACATACATACATATAACATATATACATACATGCGTATCTACGAAGATGGAGCTAAATCGGACTGAGACCGTTCGTCCGAATGCCGTCATGAGTCAACAAAGCTTTGCTCGTTTACATACAAGAGCCGAGGCTTCTGCGAGTTTCCGCTGCCTGTCTTAAATGCATTTCCAGTTCAAAGTTCGGACTGAAAGCTCGATGGTTTCAGAAGCCCCTTGATAATTTCCTGCTGCTTCGTATCAAGAAGGAGAGGGGCTATATACGGTTTGGGGTTAAGAAACACTCGCACTCGGCCTTGGCTATCCGTTAACTTGAACTTACATCCTGCAAACTTAACCGCCGCATCTTGAAAACCAAAATGTCAAACCAGTAAACCCAAAGCCCTAAATCCGCAAAGCCCCCGAAGATCGTAAGTCGCCAAATTCTTTAAACTCGAACGTCTCAAGCCCCTAAACCCCCAAACCGCAAAACAACAACAATACGAAACTTTTAAACTGTAAGCCTGCACACATAAAGCATCCTGAAATCTGCAAGCTAGCAATTCTTAACACCCTAATCGCCCCATCGCAAGGTGCACACGGGCCGCCCAGGCCAGGAGACCAAAGAGACATCAGCCACTGACTCTCGCGAAAAAAGCTCCGAGCTTAGAAGCAGAGTGGCACCATCTCCTTGGACAGCCATGGTAATCGTACATCACAACACTGCAAGCGCCGTGAGCAACTCTGCGTGTTTTCTGTCTCCAAGGAGTGGCACACACTCCTCTCTCAGCAGTCTTAGCTTGCCGGCCACAAATGCTTCTGCGCCTGCGCTGAGAATCCAATCAGCAACTGCTCCCCAACAGCCAAGTGCCATGGAAAATGCTGTCCCCAGCAGGCGTCCATCCTGTCGGGAAACCTGACATCGATGTGCCTTGCCCCCACAGCGTCTTACCCAGGGTTTCAAGCCATGTGTAAAGGGTATCGCTACGGATGGTCGCCCCAAGTTTCGCCAGCACACACACACACACACATCAGTCGGAGCAACTAAACCTTTCAAATTGGGAAAACTTAATGCCAATCCTACCCGAAGCTGTGTACAGGGCTCAGAAGCCCTGCAAAATTAGAATTAGGGCTTGTTTCGGGATCCACGAATTTGGGGTTTCGGGGCCTAGCGTGTAAGAACTTAGGGTTCGAGGACTTTCGTCTGTTGGGTTTTTGGTTCCAAGCCTTATAACCTCTATAGAGCCCTGAAGCCCCAAATCCTCAAACAACGCCGAATTTCAGTGAACTGAAACACGAAATGGTTATCATATATCTGAAACTCTATAATGTTGCTGTAACAAATGTTCATATCAATACTACTATTGCTTTGGTTATGCTTGCGACTATCACTATGCTTCTTATGACTGTTGTTGTTGATATCATGACTGCCACTGTTACAGGAAGACGCAACTTCCAGGTTAGGGGTTTAGGGCTTTCAGGATCACGGGTTCTTAAAGGGCTCCTTAAAGGGATCTATAGGGCTCCTTAAAAGGGTTCAGGGTTTAGGGCTTCAAGGGTTTAGGGTTTTAGAGGACTAGGGGTTTAGGGTTTAGGTCTTACAGGACTAGGAGTTCAGGGGTTCAGGGGTTACCTTAACCTACCAGACCATACTTTTGTGTAGGTTTCTTATTCTAAACCCTAATACGGAATTTATAGGGACCCTACTTTTTGGTAGGGCTCTTATTCTAAACCCTAATACGGGATTTATAGGGACCCTACTTTTTTTGTAGGTTTTGGTAGGTTAAGCCCTAAACCCTAAACCCCTAAACCCTAAGGTATGCGTTTGGACCCAGCCGCGAGAATCCGTCGCCAGGGCGGCTGCCAAGGCGCCAGAGGCCAGTGGAGAGGAAGGCCCCGGAGCCTGGTCTGGGCTCTTGCTAATGAAAGTACTACTACTACTACTACTACTACTACTACTACTACTACTACTACTACTACTACTACTACTACTACTACTCGAAGTAAGTACTACTACTACTACTACTACTGCTACTACTACCCACTATAGAATAAATCTCTATTCTGAGATCTTAAGGAAATTCCTGAACATGAACCCAGTCTTCAGTTCTACACAGATTTGTAGGGTCTAAGTACTTGAAACCAATAACCTACCGTCTTGGGGCTCCCTAGTATGAGCCTCTAAGGGTTGATGGAGCTTTTTCCCAAAGGGTCCTATGTACTGTTACGGGGGATACTTCCCTAAGTCATAATAGTAATAGTAATCCCAAATATGTATCAACCCTACATTCTACTATATCGGTACATAGGACCCTTTGGGTTTGGCATAGATAAGGTCTGTATTTTGCAGAGTTCTGGTGCGTGGGTTTAGTTTAGAATTGGTTTTGGGTAGTTGTCAAATTATGCACCCCTTTTAGGTACCCTAAATATTAGGTGCCGTACTAGAAGAAGGACCGAAAGCGGGACCCTAATTTTGACAACCACCCTTTTGAGGGCCCGGGAGCCTCCTGGAAATTGGTGGGCAGAAGCTCGGGGTTTTTCCAAGTGAGTATCTCTTGAAGTAATCTTCAAAGGAGCCCTTATAGAACCCCCTCAAAGGAGTATCGGGGGTCTGAGTAAGTAGCATAGAAGTAGGATATGGGGCTTTTCCAAGTGAGTAGAGTAGAGTTTTGGGCTACTTTTAGGGTTTAGGCTTGAGGGTTTGGGGTCTATAGGGTTCAGGATTCTCAGGGTTTTGCATTTCGAATTTGGGGTTGAAGTTTACCACTTCGTCCAGGTTTTTGCGGCTTGCAGGAACTCGCTTAAAGACGTCGAGAATGAGAAAGCAAAGACTCCCCAACTCCCTCACACCACAATCGCTCAACCCTAAATCGAGCTGGGGTACTTTGGTACAGCGGGCCTTAAACCGAAACCTGAAACAGAGATCGAAACTGATATCAGATCACTGAGGAACCTCACCAAAACTGGGTTCTTCTCGTTAGTAAGACCATGGTAAGTTTACCTAAATTCCTTAAGATAAAAATAAAGTAAAACTACCATCAGGGCTCTGTAAAAAACAAAATAGTTTATAGTTTCCTGAATCGGCTATGATGACTTATAAACTACGGTAACTTCATTAACAAAAACCCGAACACACCTGTTGTCACCACTTCGAACATTTACCTATACAGGCGCTCATCCCACTCCAGACCCAGGGCTGGGCACAACATGACAAAATTGAACCACAAGTTCTGATTCTCTCTAGTTGACTAATTGAACTCCAGGCAAATTTACTGCGCAGCGAGAAGCGAAGCTGGAGTCTTTGCCCGTTTTCGTTCGCAACACTTCCCGCAAACTCCTCGAAGCATTGGGAATGGGTGAGGGAGAATATGCTTCTATGTTTATATGTGGTTGGATGGACGGTGTGTGTATTGTCTACATGTCCTGTCTTCCACAATTCCCAATCCTTTTCAAAACCAATCCAAACTACGTCGTAGTCCTTATAGTTCCTTGCAGTAGTTCGTGCCTTGCTACTCGCATCGCTTCTGTTCTTCGCACGAATCCAAGTGACGGCGGCCAGCAAGAACGCTTGGGTCTAGAGTTTTGGCATGGGGGTGCTTCGGGCACCCGAACCCAAACCTCCTAGATCCTTCAAGCCAAACAGCCTAAAAGACCATGGGTTCATGCACCCAACAGGATTTTGTGGTTCCGGATGCTGGCATTAAGGCTTTTTTTGGTGTCGTGGAAATTAAGGCTTCGAAGCTTTCAAGCTTTTTCGCATTTAAATCTTGCTTTGGCCGGGGCACCTGAAAGACATGCCCCACGGCTTGTTCACGATGATGTAGCCTGCCACGACACTGACACGCGGTTGAGGTTTTCGGGTTTCGGGCCGGGGAAAATACTTAAACTACAATCTAAGCCAACTTTTTATCCGAAAGCATGCAGTGAGCAGGATAAAGACAGTAAACTTTGCGTTTAGCCGCTGTTACTACGAGGGCAACGACGACTAATTACTATTGAAACCGGTCCTACTACTATGTCTACTGCTCCCGCTGCTGCTACTAATGCATCCTCCTCTCCTCCGGCTACTGCCACCACTACTACTCCTCGTCCTGCCTTGCTACTCCAGCTACTGATGCCAGTCGTGCTGCTACCGCTGCTGCCACGATCACCACCGCCATAGCAGTACTCAGTAGCTGCAAAAAGTATCAGCTCCCGATTCCGCCCTAAAGCTACAGATGCCAAGGAGCCCTGAAAGCCTAAAGCTGAAATGCCCAAAAGCCCGAAAACCCCCAAACCCTTTACCCCAAAGACCCTACAAAGACACCCTAAACCAAGCCACCAGTCCTGGCATCTCCGCCAGGATCTCGCATGGCCCGGCTGCGGAAATCGCGCCGTGCCACCGCCGCGCCAGGCCGCGGACCCCATTGCAGCATAAATTCGGGAGGGCCATGGGCAGATGGAAATATTGGCTATACTTAGAGGATCATGGGACTTAGTAAGTAGGTTGGTTATAATTGGGGTTATAATTTACGGTTATAATTTATCCTAATTATGACCTACTTATAACCTTACTTAAGTCCCATGACGAGCCTTCAAGTAGGGTTTAGGGTTTTCGCGTCGGGTTTAGGAGTTTAACTACATGCGGATCCAATAAGAACTACGGCTCTGCGCCCTTGATCTAGGGATTCAAACCCCACTGTTTTGTCGGGCTTGGGGCGGCTATCCGCCACATGCCAAGCCCCGTGGTCTATGATGAAGGGTGCAGAGTTTAGGGTTGAGAAACTCTGAAGAAGAGACTTGTGCAGAGCTTCGGGTTTAGGGTTTAGGGTCTGGGGAATCCTGAAGAGGGCTTAGCGCAGGCTGGAGGCTCTGGTATGCTTCGGCATATGCATCATGCATACTTTGTTAGGTACTGCTCCCATACAGTAAGAGTCTATAATAGGGCTACTACTATGGTCCCAATATATCTATATTATGAATATTATTCAACTATTACTGAGCGGGGGTCGTACCAAAGGCATATGCATCGACAGCTTACATTTAAAATGTGTTCTGGTTCCTGGCGCCGTGCACCGGATCGGAGCCCAGAGCCTAAAGCCACAAGGCACATCCCAACCCTAACCCTCAATTGAAGGGTCTTTCTCTGAGCCCTCTTGCATGAAACAGAGCGAACCGAACCGCGAACCACTTCAACTTCGAAATTTGGCATTCGAGGTCAGAGATTGGGGTTCTGGGTTTTGGAAACCATACGCAAGCTTAGAAGTGAACCCAACTGCTTCGGGTGGCTGCTCTTGCAGCCACGGCTTCTCAACGGCAGTGTGTCAGTGCGAGTTGGGGTCAAGACGAAGGGTTCCTTACACACTATCAATAATTCACTGTTAGTAAGTAACACTGATGGACCTCCTCATAACAATCCAAGCATGTTCGCAAGCTCCCATTTTTCTCAGACGTGCCAGCCGCGGTGATTTTCCCTGGGCGCGACGTTGAGAGCTGGCTGGGCGTAATGTCGGGGCACGGAATTTAAGGACGTATGAAAAGAAATCATCTTAGGGAACCCTAAAAATTGGGTCATTTGGAGTCCAGGTGAGGCTTACGGATTAGGATTTAAGCGATCTTAGGCCAACAGCTGTACCCGAACCCTGCACAGTGCAACACCCATAAAAACTATGTTGTTCTAGCGTTTAGGGTTTAGGGGTTAAGGCTGTTGTTCTCCATGCTTTTGAAATCCAGGTATGTTACGCAGTTTGTTCGGGTCTCAAGTGTTTCCCTTAAGACTCCATGTGCCCATGTAAGGGCTTAAAGGGGTCCCTATATAGGCACTTTATGGCCTAAGTATCTTCTATATGGGCGCATGGAGCCTTTGAGTAAGTACCCTGCCTTTTTTAAGGACTTGCATAAAGGAAACCGTATTAAGGAGCCGTTTAAAAAAATCAGGTTCTCGGGGGTCCAGGTGCCCTAAACCTCGAGCTCATTCTGAAGTGCATGAGTGGTTGTCAAAATTAAGGTCCCTTTTTGCGTCCTTAATATCTTACGGCACCTATTATTTAGGGTACCCAAGCAGGGACCATAATTTTGGCAACTGCCCATATTCCTGTGGCTAGGTAGGAACCTCGAAGCCCAGACCCGGCAATCAGGACTGACCTCGATTGACAGGGAGTACGCAGAGAACCCAACAATCCCTTACAGTAAACCCCATAAAGTTGGAAACCGAATTAAGGTCAAATAGTGCTGGGGTTCCCTAGACATAAGAGGTTTCCAACTTGTTGGCTTCTAGTGTAATAAAGGAATACCTACAGTCTTTATTGTAGTTCCTTTTTTGGTTAACCAAAGAATCTCTATTATAGGATCCTAACCATAAAACTGGCAAACCAAAAACAGAAACTAGAATGGAGACTATAGGTAGACCTTGTAAATTATAGAGGCCCCAATATTACCACACCCGGCCTTTTGCTTCGAGATCGGAAGCACACTAAACCCTAAACTTAACCCTACCTAGAGGCTCCATAGTAGTTCCTTTTGGGGGTTCATATTCAGAATCCTATAAGGTAATCCCAAGAAGGAACTACTATGGAGCCTGTGGGTAAACCCTAAACCCTAGTCCATGGGGATAAAAGCTTCAGTGAACGGTTTTGAAGGCCTTGGGGTCACAGCTTCAAAAATCAAAACACTGCAACCCCTAAGAAACACCAAATGAGAGTAAAGACCCCTTTAGAATATAAGATGTATTCCGTACATGAAGTGGTTGTGTAGTCGCTTGATAAGGGCTTGGGGTTGGAGGCTAAGTCCATGTTACTGAAAGGACTTACTACATCAAAAGAACTTCCAAGTAGGGCACAGGGAGAGTTTAGCAGTTTTGGGGGTGCAGCACTCGGCAGAAGTTGTCGGGAAACTTAAAAGTTTTTGAGGGGTGCCAAGTGGCCGCCAGCCGCCCGAACGATTCGATTCCCATCCAGAATTCCACGACCTTGCAGCTGAAGGGTTGTTGAATGTTTAAAGCTTATCGTGTAAGGCTTCGGGGTCTTGATGTTCAGGATTTCTTAGTGCTGCTTCTTAGTTTTGGGGCTACAGATCGGCGCTAGAGGGTACTTGGCTACGAAGCCACATGATCTTGATTCTCAGCATGAGGGCATCAACTGCCAGTCGAGACAGGGTTTAGTTTAGGGGTCAGGGTATGGTGTTAAATGCCACTGCAAACGTTAAAAGCATATTCAACAAAGCTCAAGCTTCTTGCACCCTTACGCTGCCGCAACAAGAAGCGAAGATCAACACAAAGCATGTTGACGCACATGAATGCATGTGCATTTACATATGTATGTATGTATGCATGTATGTATGTATGCACAGTGTATATATATATATATATATATATGTGTGTGTGTATAATGCTATTGTATATCTTTATATACAAATACATTAGATATATAGATATAGATGACTGTGTGCGTATGTACATATCTGTATACATATACGTGGCACATGGGAGTTTCCGAAAATCGGGGACCTTAATATAGTTCCCCAAGCCCCAAATAGTATTATCCTTATTATAAGGGGCCCCCTATTTTCGGAAACTCCCACATGTGTATACATGCGTTATGCTACTCTTTGACGCTCAGCAGCTGAGATCGACCCTTCCCTTTTGGCGGCTGCCAAGCAGGAACTGTTCGCCTTGGCTCGCTGCTCTAGGGCTCAGGATTTAGTTCGGGTTGTAGGGTTAGGGGTGTAGGGCTTCGGAAAGTTTAGGGTTTAGGATTTAGTTAGGGTCTTAGGGTATAGGGTTTTAGGGTTTCGGAAAGTTTAGGGTTTAGGAGTTAGTTAGGGACTTAGGGTATAGGGTTTAGGGTTTGCGAAAGTTTACGGTGTAGGGGTGTATAGTCAGAGTAGATAACCCTGAGGATGTGTCGGTAGACAAGTGTTCCAGCTCTTATATCATAGGGTTTCAGACAAGTTTCAGATTTCAGATCTAGGGTTCTGGATTAGGGATCGAGGACGAACAAGACATAAGAAATTGCGGGGGTGGGGGTGGGGTGTGGGGGGGTGGGGGTGTGGGGGGGGGGGGGGGTGGGGGTGTGGGGGGGGGGTGTGGGCGCGGGGGGAGGGGGAGTGGGGGGGGGGGGTGTGGGGTGGGGGGGTCAGGCCTCAAGATGTAATTAGGGTTTACCAACCAATGATTGAGATTTGGTTTCGGTTTTCGGGCCTTGGGTTCCTTCAGCACCAGCTAATCGGCAGACAGCTCGTACAAGGAGGCTGGCCTCCCCAAACCCTAAACCGCGCGTTATCTTGTTGTTCATTTTCATCCTAAACAAACAGCCCTAAACCGAAAATGATCTTAACCCCGAACCAGAAGTCACAACGCAGGCCCATATCGAGGGCTATAAAAAATCTCCACTGTGTGGACATACTGGGTAGGGCCGGTAGGGATTCTTGAAAAATAGGCGATGAAACTTTGGTAAGGATATGTAAGGGTTTGTAACAAATAGGTTCACGGACTATTCTGGTTGGGTGAATGGGACATACCATCTCAATTACTCAGCCAAAGGAGCCTTTCAGTACTGGGAACTTAGGGTTTAGGGTTTCAGGTTTAGGGAACTAGTGCAGATTGGCCAGGAGGGTTTGAATCATCAACCTGCAACGGATTTTTTGTGTCCTTGACCTGCAATGTAGGCAGTGCTCAGGCTTGTTTTGAGGGCCTTTTGGTGCTGCAGGATGCTAGGCAACATTCACATTCAGGGCTTGGTGGGTTTTTGCTTTGAAGTATCCAGACCTTCCAAAATCCCTTAATTAAGGAATATACCTTAAATCATATTAAGGATCCTACTCTAATTTACGGTATATTCCTTAATTAAGCTGTTTTGAAAGGTCTGGGTATACCGAACCCAAAGCCATGCTAGCGCTGGCTGTGAGCTGCTTCTTCAACCCAAGAGGCACCTAAGCCCCAAGAACCCTTAAACCGTGCCAGCCCGAAACGTTCAAAACCCAAACCTGAAACTCTAAACCCTGAAACCCTAAACCCATAGACCCTAAACCCCTGAGTCCGACCCACTTCTTGCATCTTTCAATCCTTTTAAAGGAACCTTTTGAGCAAGATGTTTAGTCTAGAACTCTGAGGGCTTTGGGACCCCGGATCAACGGATGTGTCAAAGGCTTACCCTAAAACCTACAACCCTGGACCCTAAAACCCCAGACAAATATCCTAAAACCAACAACCCTAAAATCAAAAATCCTAAAGCCAAAAAAAACCCTAAAACCAAAAATCCTACAACCAGAAACCAAAAACATCAAAAATCCTTAAACCAAAAATCCTAAAACCAAAAATCCTACAACCCCAAAACCACCAAAACCTAAAACCAAAAAAAACCGCGGCTCGCGGCGGCTGAACCGCCTGTCGCTTCTGCGGCGGTCCCTTTTCAGAGCACTGAGATGTCGGGATGCAAAGTTGTTTGGGGGGTCCTTTAAAGGGTTTAGGGTTGAGGGTCTCCTTTGAAGGGTTTAGGGTTGAGGGTCTCCTTTACAGGGATTTAGCGTAATTTCGGGACGCTAAGTTTTTTGGGGGTCCTTTAGCTTGAAAGGCTCCTTTATGGGTGCGAGATGGGAACCATGGAGGTTTCGGGATGCACAGTTTTGCATCTCCTCTAAATGTTCCTTTAGACGGGGGCTAGAGGGGTTTTGGGGTTCCTTTAATGGTCTCGGTGTTGACTGAATCTTGCTGAGGTTTAGGGCAGCAAACCGCTCAAGGATTTCCGGGAACTAGCTAAATCGCTGGAAAGGTTCTATACTTTAGATTTTGCGTCAAGGTTTGACAGAAAGACATGAGTCGAAAGTTATGAGTCACTATGCTAGAATATGATCGTCAGGCTGTGCATGCACATTGCTTCGAGACGCAGGCTTGGGGCTTGTCAAACGAGTTACCAGTATCATGTAGAAGTCTGACCAATTACTAGCAATACTCCCGTAGAGGTTGTCTCTATAGGCTAGAGTATATTCAACAAAGAATCCTATTCCAATCATACAGGTTTCTAGAGCAAACTCTTATAAGCACTCACTGAAAAAGATCTCAAAGCAATGCTTCAAAGAAGCCCTAAACCACTTTCTAATCGTTAAGGCTTCCATATAACATGGGCTTGCTCCCACAGTCGACTTTGGAGATGTCCTGTCGGCATACAACTACCTAGGGTTTAGGATGTAGGGTGTTGGGTTTTCGGGTCTCTGATCAAAACAGACATGCTGAAATCTAAAGTTTAAGAGCAAATCTCCAATCCAAGCGCCAAAATCTCGACCTTCAGTAGTACAAACCCTAAGCCCTAAGCCCCAAACCCCTAAACAGGGGCCTTTAGGGTTTTGGGGCCCATTAGACTAGAAGTATAACCAGGAACCCCGCAAAAGAATAGTGGTAACAATAAAAGGCCCCATATTATAGAAATCAGGCGCCTGAGCATAGTCGCCCTTGCCACGCTTGGCACCTTCACGGAAGCAGGGCTGAAACAAACGACAACAACGATGAACATATCATAAGCTTCGGTATCGTGTCTGCGGTCCTGGCCGTCGTTACCATCATCATCACCACTATCATCATAGCCAGCAAAACCGTCAGTACCCTAATTGGCAGGTCTGGAGGTCGTCAGCGTCATGGTCTCTCCGGTCGTTCTCGTGAGGCCGACGGGGAGCAGGAGGAGTAGGGGTAGGGGTAGTTGTCGCAGGTGTTGCGGTCGGCGCGCGCGTGGTACATCCAGGTAGCACACAAAATCCCCCTGACAGCAAGCCCAAAGGCTCCACGTGCCTATCTAGTATATACTTATGCCGTACTTCTATAGCTAGCTCTTAAAGGTATAGAATATAGGGGCCTTAATGATTAGAATAAGGCTTTGGGGTCCACCATACGATACTGATAATAAGGAGCCCCCAAAATGGTATAGGTCTTTACTAAGGCCCCGATACTAACACGATTGAAGAACATAGGGAAGAACAATGCCAAGTGCATACTGCCAGGCCATCCTTCGGGCTTTAAACCTTCAGGGCTGTAGTTTAGGGTTTGGGGTCTAGGGTTTAGGCTTGTTTGGGCATTTCTCTAAACTATAGGGTCCCAGTTAAGTCCCCCAAATAGTCCGGCATGCTTATAATAAACAGGACCCGAATTTCGGACGGAGAAGGGTACTATAAGGGGTTCCTTTAAGGGTACTATAAGGGCTTCCTTTAAGGGATCTCTGTAATGGGGGTACTATAAACCCCAGAAAGTTGCAATCCCTATAAAGTTTGGGCTTTGGGATTGGGGCTTAGTGGATGATTAGTGCCGGGATTCCTTATGCTGATGATGCTCCAACTTTTCGGCTTCTACTGTGGGATACTGTAGGCATGTAGAGTTTAGGGCGTTGTGGGTTTTTGATGCTGTGGGCTTTAGGGGGCTAGTCTCAGCCTACTCGGGGATTTAGGGTTGTAGGGCTTAGAGCAGTGCAGGTTTTCGGGCTGCAGGCTTTGCTGCTCAATCTAAGCCCATCACCAGAAACGGAAAGCCTTAATCCCAGGAGTAGAAAAGTCTTATATTATAAGACAATCGCCTCAACGCTGAATTCCCTAAACCCTGAACTGAATGGATGGGCGCATACATCAGGAAGACTTCCTACCAGAACCCCAAACTCTCTTCGCTCTTGCCATTTCTAACCTGAAACCCCAAACCCTAAACCCTAGACTCTGAAACCAAAATCCCGCATCCTAACCCTTCCACTTACGAACAACCCATAGGACGTCGTAAGCAAGGCATATTTAAAGCAATCTGATCCAACGTGCAGCAACCTAAGTACGCATTTTCTTCAGAACCCCTAAACCCTAAACCCGTAGACCCTAAACCCTAAACCCAAGTAAACCCTACCCCAAAACCCCCAGGACCCAGAAACCACAAACCCAAGAAGCCGGGAACCGAACCAGATCATTAAAGCCAGGGTATAATTCAGTACAATACCGCCGTATGAAGTCTCGTAAGCCATCGAAACCTATTCAAAGACCTATAAGGCCTCAGAAACTTTCATCAATCTATAAGTCTTAAGCCCTAAACCTTAAACCCTAAACTTGCAAAACCCTAAACCCTATAACGCCCCAAACCCTAAAGCCCTAAACCCCTGGCCCCTAAAACCCCAAACCCTAAAGCCCTGAACCCTATAACACCAGATGTCACAAAAATGCTCTCTGACCTCTAAAACAAACACAAGAACGACCTTGCAGGAACCCTTAATTCAAGGCTAACTTCAAGGAACCCCTTAAAGGAACTTAAGTAAACCCTGAACCCTACACCCCTATAATTAGACCCTATCCCCCTAAACCTTACTTAAAGGGTGGGACGTAGTAACTGGGGTTATGATTAGGGTATCTATGCTTATAGCCCCAATTAAGGTACGTATACCCTTACTTACTAAGTCCCACGATCCTCCAAGTAAGCCCTAAGCCCTGGACCCTAAACCCCAAGCCCTAAACCCTAAACCCTAAGCCCTAAACCCTAAACCTTAAACCCTAAGCCCTAAACCCCTAATCCCTAAACCCCTAAACCCCCAGAGACCGCCTCGGTGCACTCCGAAGAGACCCACGCCCTCTGGTGGCTGCTGCCGCCGACTCAGCGGCGGCTGCGCGAGAAGCGCCTGAATAGGGCGTCGAGGCTCTTTCATTCATGGTATGTGTGCGTATATATATATATATATATGTATAATTAATATATATATATATATATATATATATATATATATATATGTGTGTATATGTATGTATATGTGTATATATATATAATGTATGTAATGTGTATATACATATATCAAAAATATACAGCATTTGTAAGTTATAATTATGTGTATATTATATATATATATATATATATACATTGCTCTTTTTTTTCGAAATTAATGAAGGAGCTTTGATTTTGGGTGGGCTTGGAGTGCAGCAAGAGGCTAGAATGTAACACCTTATTTGGGTTAGTATAGGCGCCTTAATAGTTAGTACAGGGGTTTGTGATATAGTGCACTATAACTAAGATGAGGCATCCCCACAACAGGTTTGGAAATTATTCGACTCCTATATTAGAATAACAAATGGGTTGTCCAAACAAGGAGGGAGGTTCTGGGATCCAGCGTTTTGAGGCTACTTGGAGGATCATGGGACTGCGCAATAATAGTCGTGATATAAGTACCTTGGTTGGGGCTATAAGTGATTATCTGTATGGTTAGCTTACATATTTATAATGTATAACCCGAGATACTAAGTCACCTGATCCTTTACGTAGGCTTAAGCTCTGGAGGCTTGGCGTCGTGCAATCGCGGTCCGCCTGTTTGGTTTAGGGCCTAGAGTTTAGATGGGGGTTTCTGAAAACAAGGGGTACCTCGTTTTGGGGTCCGTATAATCATGACCCTACTATTTAGGGTCGTACTATATTAGGGTCCCCTAGTTTCAGAAACTCCCATATGAGCATTCTGCCTGCCTTGGCATCTGAAGACTCTACAGTCTTCTTACACGGAATGTGCACACCATCACTTTATCACACTCATTCCTAACCTCCAGGCTCTACGGCCACGTTGCCCCTCGAGAACCCAGAACACAAACGCTAATTTGGGCGAATCCGCATCAAGTTGCACGGAGGGGCGAATTGTGCATGCACTGGCAATTCCGGCAACAAACGGGGGTTTCCGAAAATAGGGGCCCCTAATATAGTACCCTAAATAGTAGGATCCTTTTTTATAAGGACCCCAGAATAGGGGACCCCTACCGTTCTGAAACTCCCAAACCTCCCTGTTTTCTGAGAAGGAGCTGCGAGGCAACACTGGCTGCCGAAGTTAACTACAAGCTCTTCAATCAAGGCATACTATCCGGACTTATTCCATGGAGTCCAGCCACGTCGGGCTCAACAAATCTACAATCTCTTCCGAGCCAGCCGCATGTGCGATCGCCAGGGCTGTGTTGCCACTTAAGTCCTGTAAGTCCCGGTCGGCGCCTGCTTGCAATAGCAGCTTCGCAATCTCAACATGACCTTCACCACATGCAAGCATTAGGGCTGTGCTGTCTTCCAAGTCTTGCAAGTCCATGGAAGCTTCAGCATCCAACAGCAGGCGCAGGATCCCGATGTGGCCTTTCTCGCATGCACTCATCAGGGCTGTGCGATGGTAGTGGCCCCGGATGTCGACTCCGCCACCGCACGTCAGGAGCAAGTGCACCATGTCCAAACGATTTGCCTCACACGCGAGAAGTAGTGCTGTAGAGTGGTAATTGTCCTGCACGTCCTTGTCAGCACGGGCTCCCAAGAGCAGGCGAAGAAGCTCCGTTTGATCTTCTTCACATGCCAGGAGCAAAGCGGTCCTACCGCTTGTGTTTCGAAACTCTGTGGAGGCTCCGGCTTCGAGCAACAAGGATGCCACTTTCACATGGCCTTTTTCGCAGGCACGCATCAAAGCTGTGCAGCTGCAGCCGTCTTGGAGGCTCATGGATGCCCTTGCTTCCAGGAGCAGCCGCACCACTTCTGCATTACCTTCCTCAGAGGCTAGAATGAGGGCTGTTCTACCGCTTCTGTTCTGCAGCTGCATCTCAGCCCTGGCTTCCAATAGCAGCTGCACAACATCAACATGGTCTTCTTCGCATGCAAGCATAAGAGCGGTACAGTCATTGAACCCATCCCACACATCCTTGTCGGCACCGACCTCCAAAAGCAGCCGGACGACATCAACCTGACCTTCTTCAGCTGCGAGCATGAGAGCCGTCCGGCCACTGGCGGGGACCCTCATATCTTTGTCTGCACCAGCTTTCAACAGCAAACGAGCAGCTTCGGTATGGCCGTACCTGATGGCATCAAGGAGCTCGTCCGAAACCTGAAGCCGTGGAGCACCGGATACTGGCAGCAACACGAGCTGCACCTCTGCCACCAGGTCCAACGAAGCCGAACTCTCCAGCCTACGCCCATCACCTTATGCGGTTTAGGGTTTAGGGCATCACCTTACTTCCCAAATACCTGTGGGGGCAGCAATTCGAAGTTTCCGACAAAACTACCTTATAAGAGCATCAAAGAAATTGGAAAGTTGGGTTTTAGACCTCTAAGTCACAAAGGAGCTGTTGAAGGCAAACTGGAAAGCCATGGAGTTCACGGAGACGGAGCTTCAAGCCCTTCACGTTGTGCAACCCCTCCTTGTCGATGTTGGGAAGCTCCTCACCAGAAAGCTTCCACAGCCGAAGCATGGCAACCGTCAGCTTCCCTGATTTTTCGGACGGCTCTCAAATCATCCGCACAAGTATGTCCTATGATCATGCTGCCTTTTGTGTTCATCATAGGCCTTAGTAATTAGAATAGGGTTTAGCTTTCTTCAGTTCGGATCCCGGTCAAGATCGCTGCTATCGCCTGGTCTAAACTGTACTAACCCAATTCCTTAATCATTAATCCTCTACTAACCCAATGCACTTCCTTAACCCCATACTGCCCCAAGTCCGTCATCCAATTCGAATAGGGTTTTGGGGCCCACTGTACTATAATTAAAATAAGAACCAACAAAAAAAGTATTGGTAGTTATTCAGGCCTCTATAGTACCCTGCTCCCCCACGCAAACAAAACTTGCGATCGTCAGCCACGTGGGTGCGCACAGCAAGTCTGCAGCATGATACGTAAGTGGGTTGTTGACTGGAACGCAATACGTGGAATGTGGTCTGGGCCGGAGCTTTTGGATCCACAGCTTTACAAGGAGGACGGAGTAGTCGTCAAACATACATCAAACAGTTTTGAACGGACAGACTCTGGGCTGGTTCATGCGCTGTTTAGGGTTTAGGGGTTTAGGGTTTAGGGTTGGAGAAGGACAGAAGATCATGCGTTTTGGAGTTTAGGGCTTCGGGGAGATTTTTGGCGGATGAATGAAGTGATAAGCCGAAGCAAAAGCCAGTGCTGGGACGAGGTGCTTTTTGCATGCATGATGGGCACATGCTTCCATGTATCTGCCACCCAACTTCGAAGGAAATCGAATCTCTTAGCTTTAGCCAAGTATAATCCCAAACTCGATATCCATGTCTGATGATGTGCTTCGGCATACACTACTACACGCGTGGGCAGATCCTGATCCCTTCTCGCTTCTCGCCTTGACTCGGAACAGGATATGTAGGTAGTAGGGTTCCAAGTAAGAGTTACAACAACTCAGTTTGTTTGTCGCCTTAATTAAGCAAAGGTACCCGTAAGCATACTGCAAGACGTGTCAAGGATCTTCCACCACTTACGAGACATGAGCTCACCAAACCCTGGAAATTTGGACTCGCTGCGAAAAATCTAGATCCCTTTGCACGAACCACTAAACCCTGTACATCAGCCCAAACCCCTAAACCCTATCCCTTTTAGGAACCCTTTAAGGACCCCATTAAGGAATCCTTTAAGGGACCCTTTAAGGACCCCTTTAAGGATCCTTTCAGGGACCCTTCAAGGAACCCTTTAAGGGACCCGGATTAGCTCCAGGCCTTGAACTTCGCGTCCGTGGCGTCGCTGAGTTGATTCGCAGCGCGCTCGATCTGCAAACAAAATCTCAGAGGGTCCATATATACCATTAGTGCCCTACAAGGGTTCCTTTGAGAGCTCCTTTATGGGTTCCATAGTTTAGGGTATAAGACCCCATGTATACTGCCATTACGGAATTATTGCCCTAGAGCCATAGTAAGGATGGTCTTTTGGGACCTCATTCCATTATGGTGGTAGATATCAACCCTCTGAAAATCTGAGGCTTTGGGGCCCTAAGCGGTTTAGGATTTAGGAAGACTAATATAGGGGGCCTTCATAATTAGAACAGAGTTCCTTCAAGGGGTCCTTTAAAGGGGTCTACAAGGATCTATAGTAGGGTTCTACAATGTAGGGGCATTAATAATTAGACTTGGGTTTCGGGGCCCGTGATACTATGGTTATAACGAGGAACCACCAAAAGTAGTACAGGCAATTAGTAAAGCCCCTGTATTAGTCACCTGGCCCTTTGGAAGCTTCGATGCAGTCTCTAAGCTCGGTAATTGACTGCGGTCCTTGAAAAGCAAAGTGGTTTCGGGTTTAATTAGGGTTTATACAGGGTTCTTTCCTAAGCTCGATGAAGAGATGCGAGGCGCATAGAAAGAAAAGTAGACCCTTTCAGAGGATGCCTATGTAATGGAGGTTCCCGTACTGTGAAGGATCAAGTGCGCTTCGGGTTGTGATGCGGGTTTAGGGTTTACGCGTATCCAACCAGGAGGCATGTGCCTCACTGACAATGGAGCGCAGCGCATCCATCCTCATGGAACTGAGGGGACTTCGCGTACACTTCGCGTACAGGGATTCAAGGGTTCCCAACAAAGCCAGTACCAGTTGATTAACTACGCAAGATACCACACGCCAAAAGAAGAGAAACCTTTTTCTGCGGTTTTTATGTTGTGCGCCGGAACTAAGGGGGGTTCATTTGGCCAGGACTTCGCACAAGCGATTAAGCGTCTCAAACCTTGGAAATGAAAGGTCTTTGGTTTAGCCGCCCATGGCATGGACGTCTCAAACCTAACTCTAACCCCAAACCCCTAAATCCTAAACAATAACCCCTAAACCGACCTACACTAAAGACACAAGCATTCAACCCGTGATGCTTTCGATTCGGCTATACTTCAGCTCTTAAATTCAGCAGGAACTGCGGAAAAGTCCCCACCTAAACCCTCAACTTTGCTCGGCTGACTCCTGAACCCCTCCTAGAAGTTAAACTTTTAGCCTCCTTATTATAGTTCACATAGAAACCCAAAAAAGTTAAAGTCCTAAGAGCCAACCATAAGAACGTCAAGTTTTGACCCTCAACCCTAAAGCTGCCAACCTCCGGACGAGACACATATACAACCCTAAACCCTGGACTCTACGAAACCACGAAACCGAAAACCCTCAATTCTACTATACTCTAGACCCTGATTGTAACCTTTAAACCCTCAACGAACCCAGACGCAAAGCCTCTAAAATTTCGGCATTTTAGTTGGCCGACCTCACGGAACGAGCGACATTCTCACCGGTGAAAGGCTCCTCGATCAGCAAGTAAACCTGGCAAAAGGAAGCCCGTTGAAGGAGCCCTTGAAGAGTTCTTAAACCCTAAAACCCTTAAAGGAGCCCCTAAAGGAATCCTAAACCCCAAACCCTAAAAGGAAGCCTTATAGAAGGAAGCCAAAGCCCTCTGGCACAAGCAGGGGTGTCAGGCGCAGTTCCTCTGTGTCCCTTCGGGAAGTGGGCTCCTACATACAGTTGATGATGTAACAGAAAAGGGTACCTTTAAGGGGTTTCCTTTAGGGACTCCTTTAAGGCGTCTATAGGGTTTAGGGCTGATGATATAAATCCTGCAGTTCCTGTAAACTTATCTATAGACGTACCTTTAAGGGGCTCATTTCAAGGTTATTTTAAGGGGTTTTAGGGTTTAGGGATGCAAAAAACGGGTACCGTTAAGGGGTTCCTTTAAGGGATCTATAGGGGGGTTTAGGGTTGACGGATGTGCATCCTGCATTACCCATAATAAGGAATACATACCATACTTCCCATAGTCTACGGTCATTAAGGTAATGCACGCTATATGTCATCAACCGTGGTGCTTAGAGTTTAAGGTTTATAGGAGCCTCCGCTATCCTCGGCATCGTCACCACCATAGGCAACTATCATCATCCTCAGCATCGGCTTAGAGCCAAAACCACGACCGTCACCACCAACAGCATCAACTGCTATTGTTAACCATCATAAAGGCTAGTACCCGCATTTCGGGGAGGCCTGTGCTCTACCTATCGACCTTAACCCTAAACCGGCTTCCGGATACAGATCAGTCAGATGTCCAGAGTGCGGAAGATGAGCCTCGAGTGAAATTACCCTGAAGGTACTGTAGGCTCAAATCGGCCCTTAAGGGTTCCTTTTTCGGGTGCCTTTTTAAGGATTTCTTGAAGGCCAGGCCAGATTTTTGTCGCAGGGCCCTTTCTGCTCTCCGAACTTATCGGCTTGGGTTTAGGGCTCAGGGTTCGCATACATCATAGAGACGCTCGCGCCTGGCTGGTGGCAGGTGTCCAGTGATCGTTCCTTGGTTGGCAGTGGGTGTCTTGTTTGGTCGCGCAGGCGCAAGGTTTAGGGAGTGTGGTCAAAAACTATGTTGTCGACCCTCACCACAACTAAGTAGCACGCATACTGAGACTATGTTTGTGCAAATATCGCTCCAGGTAATTTGGCTATTGTTGCTACTACTGCTGTTGCTGCTACTGCTTCCACCACAACAACTACCAATCAAACTGCGCACAAAAGCACCACGACGACTACGACCACTACTACTACTGCGACTGGGGCTTAGAACATCCCGGACTCCCATGTTTATATGATTCCCTGTCCCTGGGTTCTGAGCCCCACGCAAGTTGAAAGCTCTGCTAAGAACCACCCAAGCTGCTTCTTGCAGTAGCCAACATCTTGTCGGAGCTCCTTCCACAAATGCCATATATAGGGCTTTAACTTTAGGGTTTATGGTTGAGAGGTTAGTGGCCTAAAAGGGGTGATAAGAATCACGATAAGGTTGGATTATAGCCCTAGAAGGAGGTGGTCTAACGACCGTGCAAACTTCCATCCAATCCTCAGGATTTGTTTTGACCGCGAACGCCTCTCCAATCACAAGCCGTTGCAGGCAGCCCTGCCGATTCGGTCCATTCAGCTGCAACAGCATGCCAAGAAGGCGACGCCTGCCTTTGATGCTAAACAAATCTTCAGACTGCCATTAAAGCAAACCACCCGTCCGCTCAGGCTTGCAGCAGGCGGTTGCCCACCACCTGGAGGAGCGCCACTGCATATCAGCTCGGTGAATGCCATCCTGGTCCAGGAGACCAGTCGCTTCTTCCCGCCCCGGATCCTCCTGCACATGGGCACTTTACCGCGCCATGAAAACTCCAGGTGCAGCCACGCTGTCCAACATCTGGAGCCGTTGGCGAACTCTAACTGCCCCCCTGCGTGCCTCTCGAGCCTTGCAACAGCAAAGTAAGCAGCTCAAGGTTGCTTTTCACCAAGAACCGCGGCTGCCCAGGGTAATCATAGGGAATTGTTTCAGACGGCGTGCCGGCTAGGACCGAAGCGAGCTAGAATGGTATCAGGTCTCAAAGACAGCAAAAGGCAACAATTGACGGAACAGGCTGAGCTCACAGCAGTCCTCAAAGCTGGACAGGACACATTCGCCCAAGTGCCGGACGAATCATCACTTTCGAGCTGGGTCCTCGGATTGCCTACAAGAAGACATGCGTGACACGCACGTGGTGTGGCTACCAAACCAAAGCCCTCCAAGCCGCCTACGTCAGTAGCGGCCCTCAAGCCGATAGGCTTGATGCCACCCTACCCCAAGCTGACAGCAGGAATAATTGCCAAGCAAATCCGTACTGCGTGTTGACTTTCGAAACCAGCCCAGATGCGCGCCCCCACCACCGATCACACCTCCAGGGACATGGCAATCGCGATAGACTGGCTTTTCCCCTGCTCTTGGCCCCACTTATGTTGTACAGCTTTCAGTGCCGCGTTGGCTGCCCGCACAGGAAGATTCCCCTCACCGTGCCGCAGCACAAACAACTAACGCATTCCCTTTGCAACTGTTCAGGAAAGTTCGCCAGCAAGGAGTGCATGAAACCACTCAGTGCCGAGACGCTGTACAACAGCTTGGACTGCTCAGGCAATTGGCCCAGGTTACTCCGGACGTCGAAGCCCCGCCCCGAAGTTTCACTACAATGTCCTGCGAGCGGATGCTGCGCACATTGCCCTGCACCCATGCACGCCGTGCTGGGCTCATGGGGTCGCAGTACCGCCACAGCGCCGTGTACACGCGACCCTCATGCGTGACCGTCATCTGGTGGCGGCTGGAGTCTTTGTACTTCCCGCGCGAAGCGGGCGCCAGGCGACTCCGACCCGCAGTTGATGTTGCAGCAACTATATATAGGCCATTCGCAGTGCAGTAGCAGCGCTCTGAACTCTCAACCCTCAACCCCTCAATACTAAACCCTAAACCCATAACCTTGAACCCCTGGTCCCTGAAGCCTAAACGTTTGGCCACCTTTACTCCAATAGCTCGACTATGCCTAAAGGGCAACACCCGAAGCTTTTGAAACAAGCGCTTAAGGGCCGGATTCGGGTGACAAGGATGTAATGCTATAATGCTCTTACTTAAAGGAATGCCACGGGCCTATATACTGGAATACCATATTGCAATTCGATTATCGTTGTTCCGACCCCTATATCACACCCTAATCTCTCCCTTATATAGTCCCTAAACCCTAAACCCCAAAATACTCAACAACTAAACCAGAAATCCTAAACCAAACCCCTAAACCTCTAATCATGAACCCTATAAACCCCTAAACCCTGCACCCAAAGCCCGCAAAACCCAAAGCTCAAGGAGCCGGTGACAAGACTCCAAACCCTCTACTTGAGGACTAAACCTTCAATCCTAGTAACTGGGCTTTTAAGTAACCAGGGTAACCAGGGAGAAAAAAATAAAAGCATAAACTTTTAATTCATAAGGGTTCCTTTAAGAAAAAAACTACTAAAGTATGGTACTCCAAAGCCCAGGTAAGGGGTCTAGGATGGTTTAGGGGGTTAGGGTTCAGGGGTTTAGCGGTTTGGAGGCTTCGGGTGTAAGGTTCGATCCCCTTGTCATGTAAGGCAAATTCCTTATGAAAGCCTCAGCAAACACGACAAAAACCTCTCAACACCCGTCGAAAAAGTTCTACAAGCTCTTCGTTAAGCAGTTTCGAGTGTCTGAGACAGGCTTGCAACCCTCAGACCCAAACGCTAGACCCTAACCCCTCGACCCGAGCCAACCCCCACGCGGAAGAATCCTTCTGCTGCCGCCCTTTCACCGACCTGTTGGAGAAGTTTAGGGTGTAGGATTCTCAGAGACTCCAATATCCCTTAACTAAGGAATATACCTTGAATCGTATTAGGGATCCTACTAAAATTTAAGGTAGATTCCTTGATTAACTAAGGGATATTAGAGTTTCCGGGCATTCTTGTTCGTTTTGAGGGCCTGTTGGTGACTGCATGACAGTCTCACGACAACCACACAGCACCGAGCCCATATTGGGCAGGCGGTCTGTGCCGTCTCCTCACTGTTTAGGGTTAGGGTTTGGTTTGGGTGTAGTAGGATTTAAGGCTTTAGGGTCGTCGCCGTCCTGATAGAAAGGCTTATACTGCTGATGAGCAAAAAACCTTTCATTACCCGGCATGGACTACGCGTGATGATTTTTTAGGGCAGGCTTTCGTCCATCAGCCGTGTGGATGTTAAGGCCCCATCACCCTACGGCGACCCATGGGCCCTACACTACACCCCCACTAAAAGCCCTTAACTCGAAAGCCTAATCCTCCAAACCCTAATGGGCTTTCGGGCTTGAGGTTCTAGGTTTTTGACTCCGATTTCAGAGTGCCTTTTGGAAGCAGGGGCTTTGATTAGTACTCGGGCTATGGCTATGGTTGAGGGTTTAGGTTTAGGGTTTAGGAAGGGTCTAGGGTTTTGGGTTTATGTTTCATGGTTATGTCCGGGGGCAGGCTTGAATCGAACCACAAGGCCAGGCTAGACTGAATTCATCAGGGGCATTGTAGGATTTTGTCTACTGCTACTCCATGAAACCCAAAAACTAGAGGAACCTATTTCAGGACCAGGATGCATGGGGTTGACAGACTTCGCTCGGAGCTAAACGAGGAAACATGGTTCAGGGTTTAAGATTGGGAGACGACGTCTCGAAATTTGTGGAGCTGTTGACATGAGCCAGGGTGCACGATGTAGCGGGATTCCAGCGGCAAGGATCCGTAGTCGTCGGGAACGCCTGAACGACTGCAGACCCGAAAGTGCTTGTATCCACTGTGGCATTGACCGTCGATATCAGACCGTTCTCATGATGAGCATCAGTGTTCTCAGAGATCCCAATAGCCCGTAACTGAGCTATAAACCTTAAATTACAGGGGCCTTAATGTTATGAATGGTTTAAGGTATAACCCCTTAATTTCGGGGGGATTTTGATCTCTGGGTTGCTAGCAGCTAGGGCAGCATGTGACAAACAACGCCTGCGCCCGGCACGATGGGCTGGAGAACGAACTCCTGCCTCGGTGTCTCAAGAGCCTATAGGAAACTCCAGAAAGTTGGAATATGGTTTCATGGTAGGATACCCTATAATTTACCATAGAAGGGTTAGGATAATCATATTCCAACTTTCTGGCTTCTCCCTTACTTGGAGGGGCAGGGGACTTAGCAAGGGTTCTTAAACGGCTACTTGGAGGGGCAGAGGACTTAGTAAGGAGGTTATAAGTAGAGCTACAAGTGCCCTAAATGGAGCCATCCCAATTATAACCCTACTTATAACCTACTTACTAAGCCCCCTCTAACCATAAAACTTAGAACCCTAACCTAAAACAGGGAGGCAAGGCTCGAATTGGCTGAAATGCTTAGAGGCTTTGGCTGAGGATATGCGTTTTCGATGTCCGAGCCTGCCTACGTGAGCTTTAGGTTTCGGGATCAGGCTTTAGGGGTTTAGGGTTTAGGGAGGGTTTAGGGTTTAGGGCTTTGCATGCCTATGTGGGCATTGCCCTACCGCATGTCAAGCGTACCTACCTTTCTATAGAACAGATACGACCTATAACACTAGCTACACCAGAAAATCGGTAGGGTATGACCCTCTACTTGGAGGGTCGGGGAACTTAGTAACTGGGTATTTTAAGGATTTAGAAGCACCATAACCCCAATTAGGGTCCTTCTTAGGGTACCTTATAAGTCTACTTCCTACCTACTTACTAAGTCCCCCGAGCCTCCAAGTAGGTAGGGTTGGGAGCTTCAGTGGAAAGGATGGCAACGGCTCCTAAACCCGAGGAGCCAACCTACATTGGTGGTTGTCAACATTAGGGTTTAGGGTTTAGGGTTTAGGGTTAACCCTAAACCCTAAACCCTTTTTGGGTCCTTATTATAATACGGCACCTAATATTTAGGGTACCCAAAAAGGGACCAGCCACATGAAGTTCAGGCGGCACGTCGTTCATCCGACCTTCCGTTATGGCTTGTCCAAGATTGATCCATCGCCTGGCAGCCCGACAGTCTCACGTGCTGGCAAGCTGCGAAGCAGTGCCTACCCTAAGGCCCCAAAGTAGTTCCTTTTGGGGGCTCATATTAAAAATCCTATAAAGTAATCCCAAAAAGGAACTACTTTGGGGCCTATGGGTAGAGTGCACCTTCCTAAAAATGTAGGTTCTATTAGTTCGATATGTTCATTCACTGTCGAATATCCGCGTTTTGAATGCTCCCGAACCTGCAACGAAGTACTGATAATACTGGTAATGATGAAAGGAGCTAAAAGTATTACAGTCACTATCTCTGTGCGACGTTATCATAACTTTGTCCTTCCGTCTTGGACGTTTCGCCACCCAGGTTAAGACTCCAAACACTATACACAACCCCAGAACCGCAAGCAAGTACTTGACCATACACCTAGCCTGAAACCTCATTCTAAACCCGAACCCCCAACCCTCTGAATTCCCCGAACCGCCTTACAGTAACTTATAACCTTGCGGTCTACGCCAACATCGCCTGTAGCCCCCAAGCATGCGATGATATACCACAGAACCCTGTTCTAGCTGCTATGAGGCCCTAAAGGCCCTAAACCAACTTAAAGACTTTACAAACAACTGCAGCCAGAAGCGCAACTACATGAGACAACCTTCTTGTAAACAAATAAGACCTTGAACGGAAAGCAAGCCCTAATAGATCCCTTAACGGGCACCCTAAACCCCTAAACCGCAAACCCCTGAAAAAAAAAAAAAAAACCTTATCCCTTAGCCCTAAACCCTTACATTAACCCTGAAGAACCTACATATTTTAGGGTTCCTTATTATGGTTTCCTTATATAGGTCCTTAAAAAGGTTCTTCAGGGTTAAGGTATGGATCCCTCAAAGAAGCCAGGTGCCCCGGCATCCAACGAAGCCAAGAGCTGAATAGCTGGACAGGCGTCATCTGGGCCTGTGCCAAGCGTTGTCAGGGCTTTATAACCCTATAAGGGTCCATGTACTCATATAGTATATACATTGGCCTTAAAGTACTCCCTATATAGGTACATTGGCCCCAAAGTATATGCTATATGGGCACATGGACCCTTAGGGTAAGGCCATTTTAAAGTATGGGCTTTAGGAATTTGAAAATCTGACGCCTTCCAGGGCTGTTTGGGGGTTTTGGGGTTTAGTATTTTAGGGCGTTTCGGCGTGAGAAGCCTAAAAAATCTCCTAAAGCCTTTGACTTTTGGAACCTGCAAAGTCTAAAACGGGACCGGTAAAGTGACTCCTTGAATCAACCACCAAGCCCTTTACTGGAAATTCGTAACCTCCAAAGCTACAACTCGTCTAGACTACGTAGCTTCTACCCAAAAATGCCCCAGTATGAAGGTCCAGAGGGACAAAATTCAAGATACCTTGGGGCATTGAGAGGTCCATTCCAAGTCCTTAGAGAAACCACATCCTCCGGACTATTGGGCTATGAAGTATCATGAGCCTCAGACAACTTGGGCGTCGGACTGGCAACGCTCACTGAAAGCACGGATGACGCTGGCGGAGGGCATGGATGAAACACACAACAGCTCCCACGGCTTCCGCGAGCTCGTGTCTGTGCCAATGAGCACTGTACATGTGGATTAGCTGCCAAGGACGTCCTCATCACAGCAGACTCGCACCAAGAGCCACGCAAGGTCGCTGGCGCCAAAGACCCCACGCTCGATGATTGCCACAAGCCACCAAACGGCTACTATGTCCAGCAGCCCTTGAAGTTTAAAGGAACCCAGAATCCCCACACCCTCCTGCATCCCAAACCCTATTATACCCAAAACCCCAAAATCCCCCGACCACCACAAATCCTAAACCCTGGAGTCCTCCTACAGCCCCAAATCCTAAACCATTACAGGAACTTTAGGCGTTTGGGGCTGGAGGTTTGGAAGTTTAGAGCTTTAGGGCCTGAGGCTTAGCGGGTAGAGGGTCTAGGGCTTGGGGGTTGCAACCTTTTCCGTGTTGTGTTTAGTAGCTCTTTCGAGCGTTCCTTTATCTTACTGTGCAGCGATTGAAAGCAAGGCTGTCGTCAGAAACCCGACACCCAAAACCCTAAACCCTAAACACTTGAAGTCCTGACCCCTCGACCCGAGAGCTAAAACTCAATCGCTATCTCCCCTGCCTTAAGGGCCACGTGACTCTAAACCCTAGACCCTTATACTGTGGTATTTAGGGGCATCATTACGTGGGTAGTTCTCTAAATTGAGGTGCCTTTCAGGGTCCTTGTTGTTAAGGGTGCCATACTATGTTCGGGACCCAAAACGGGACCCTAATTTAGAGACCTACCCATATAGACCCCTTGCAGTGCCCTTGTAGAACCCGCATAAAAACTCTTATAGATCCCTCTTTTGAAAATCTCAATCTAGGACCGTGGACACTATATGGCAAAGGAGCCTTAAACCCCCTTTAGGGTTGATGTCGTCGTTGAGGTCCGCACCTCACCGCAGCTGCCGTCGTCTGCATGAACCTGGGGCCTTGGGTCAGGGGAACTCGTTCCTGGCTTTTTGTTAAAGAACATAGCTGAAGCCACCATCATAAACCCTAAACCCTAAACCCTGAGCTACCATAATTTAGGGCTCCATTAATAATAAAGGGTTCCATAAGAGCTTAGGGTCTGTAGTCTGGGGTTGAAGAGCTTAATTGGAGTTACTACAAAAGTGATCTATAGCAAAGGTTTAGGCTTTAGGGCAGTAAATACTTGGGTTTCCTTGTTATGGTAACTTGAAACCCTAAACCCTAGATTAAGTTCCTTCACAAGAACCGAGGTTCTGGACTGGGTTCCTGGAGAGCCCGATACCCCTTAATCAGGAGATCCTCAGTGATCTATAATAAGGGTGTCCATTATGGTTATAGACGGTTTGGGGCTTTAGGGGTCTGGGTTTTGGGGTTACAGGGTTTTGGGCTCAGGGTTCAGAGCCATTTGTTGGCTTATGGCGTTTAAGGGTGCTTCTGGATTCTGGTTCGGGGGACTTTGAGCTGAACCCCGTGGGCCCAACATCGGTGCAACTTAAGGGTTAGGGTGTTGGGTTTAGGGGTTAGGGTACTGCTCACAACTGAATCCCAACACTCATGCACCCCACTAAAGTCACGTGACGAGTCAACAACCAAGAACCCCGACGAAGTTTGTTTGTCGGCGGAAGTGCCCCCAGTTAAGGAGCTAGGGTGTAGGGTTCACGTTTCGGGCTCGAGAGCAAAACACAACTGACCTTTGCAGTGCTGTTGCATGAGGAATTGCTGCTGCACGCGCTCAGGGAATATGTACATTGATCCCAAAGTACCGATATCGAATCTTTATAGGAACCCCTTCAAGGCCTAAGCACTTACATGGACGGGTGCCACTAAGCGACCATGACCTACTTGTTTGCAGGATCGCATCACAAACCATAGACCACAATATAGAATTTGCATGGGTCCTCTAAAGAAGATAGGTTCTGGTAGGACAAAATAGGGTTTGCTATGTCATGTAACCCAGAAGGTTCATACATACTACTATTCTGGAATAAGGTCCCCCAAACGCCAACATTATTTTTTGTTAGGGACTTAGTTCCATATTAGTAGTAAATATGTTATAGGTATTGCAGGATTTTTATCATCACCCGTAAAATTTCTCGGGCTTAGGGGTTTAGGGTTTCGGGGGCTTAGTGTTTGGGGTTTAGGGGGCTTAGGGGTTTAGGGGTTTAGGGCTTAGGGATATTGGGCACAGGATAACAGAATCAAGGCCCTGACCCTATGTCTTAGCACAAGCCCGGCCCTCGCCACAACATCCGTGAATCCGGCAGCCCCGAAACCCTTTACCCCTTACCCCTACTTAGAGGATCATAGGACTTAGTAAGTAGGTTATAATTGGGGTTATAAGTCCCCTAAGTGGGGTTATCCTAATTATAACCTACCTAAAACTAAAGCCGTAAAGGCTCTTTAAAGACATCCTGTTGCAAATGTGGCAACCTACGCAGCCCAAGGACAGCACATGCAACTCCTCAGCCAAACACCCGGAACTTCCCAGTCCCACCCCCTTTCCTCTGCTTCTAAAGGTGTGACGCGGATGTTCTTCCTAACCCTACCTATAGGTCTCCATTGTGGTTCCCTTGTGGGGTTTCCATATAGGGTCTTGAATATATAAATTGTCAAACCAAATACAGGAAACATCATGGAATCTATGGCTGGCTGAGGCCCTAAGCCACCAAACCTTCATACCCGAAACCCTAGCCATAAACCCTGAACCCTGAAATATTGAAACCCTATATAGACAGATTCTACACTCCGTAAGCCCTGAACCCTGAATACTTGCCGAAACCCCTAAAGCCATGAAGCCTGATACTGCCTGAACCCTGACATCTTCGAACCCGGCAAAAGCCCCAACCCTAAAGGGTTTAGGGTTTAGGGTTTAGGCTAACCCAAAGCCTGAACCCTGCAGCCCAAACCCAATAAACCCTATAAAGCCCTGATGCCGAATACCCTTGAGACAGACTTGGTCCCCCGCTCGGCCCACAGTTGGATCGAATGCTGCCCGTAGTCCAGAACTGAAAAGGCTTAGGGTTAAAGATTTAGGGTTTTAGTCTTAGCGGCTTTGTGTTTTAGGGCCGGGTGTAGGTTTTCAGGGCTTCAGAGCTCACTAAAAGTGAAGTTTTGGTGGATGCGTAGCCGTTTTCCATATGGAGTTTCAGAGTTTAGGGTTTGGAGTTTACCCTAAACCCTATAGACCCTAAAGCCTAGGGGGCCTGGGTTCGAGTGTAGTTTCTGCATTGGCTTTAAGGTTTGCCTGGGCCATTGCAGCGTTTGGAGTTTAGCGGCTTAGGGTTGAGGGTTCCTCAACCCTAAATCGTACCCTAAACCCGAAACCCGAGTGTTGTGTAAGTATTCCGAATTTTTCAATCGGAACGACGCCAGGGCCAAAGGCTAAGATGAGAAAGACACCTGAAACCGTGTGTGATAGCCAATTCAAAGCAACATTTGACAGATTGAGCTCTGTGACCTCCTCGGAGCCAGGCGCGCCATTTTGTCCGCGTGCACCATGAATGCCAAGCGTGAGAACGCCTGAGCGGCTCGGGTTTATGGCGCGGTATACGGCGGTTCCAAAAATCGAACGTAGCAGCAGCCCGGCCGGCGCAAGGCGCACGAGCCTGAGGCGCGCTTCTCGTCATCTTCCTCAATCTGGAAGCAAGGGTCAACAGCCAATCTGCGCTCGCTCGATGTTGAGCCGCAAAGGTGTTCATGAGGCAAGCAGCATTGGGTCGGCTATAGTGGGCTCTGTGATCAAGCTCAGGCTTAAAGATTAAGTTTGAGACGGTTTATGATAACTTTCTGGGTACCCTGCGCAACAAATAAACAAACTGAACAAACACACGAGCCTACAGCGCCCGTTGAAGGACCTCCGAAGATGTAGCACTACAATCAGTTGTTGATGTTGCTGCACCTACTATAAGCTTAGACACGTAAGCCCTCAGCCCAAGTTTAAACTATCATCTAATCATAAGCTGAGCCGTAAGCCCGACCTGAGGCCTAAAAACATCTAGCTGTTGGGGTCTCTACTCTACTGCTGCATTCCCAGGTGCAAGGCTATCAAGGTCGCGACCCACATTGTAGTACAAGTAAAATAAGGTCCAGACTTTAAGCCACATGCTTTGACGCCCGCACGAAGGCCGAAATCTCCGAATTATAGACCCTATTATGAAGCAGATGAAACCCTAAACGTAGCCTTCGAAAGAACTAAGACTACCAAAACCCCTAACCCCAAAGTAACCCCATCATCATTAAACCCAAATCCATAAAGTCCTAAACCTTAAACACTAAAACCTAAACCCCCAGGCCTCCCATGTCCCAAACCTTAAACTCTGCACCTTAAACCCAAACCCTATAAACCCTAAAACAAAAAACGGCCTTGCTCTAAGGCCTCATCCGCTGTGAGATAAGGCCTGCCAAGCAAGCATTTCAGATGCTTGTGGGTTTACGATAAACAGCTGGAAGCCATGAGAAAACTACTATAAAAGCCTTGATGGGAGAACTAAGTCTGAATCTTCCCTGTAGAGGCCCAGCAGCTGAGAAGGATTTTGGCTCCCAAACCCCGGAACCTCAGAAAGGGCTTTGGACATCCTTTTGCCCAAGCAATGCTGAGGCCCAAAGAGCTTACGCACATATATACATATACATAAATGTATATATATATATATATGGCTTGTTTCTCGCTTTTGGGGCGTAGTGATCCGTTGAGCGGTATATATATATATATATATATATATATGCCCTTGCATGGGTTTGAGGTTTTGGATTGGAAAGTGCCAGATAGATGTTATTTAACGGATAGTACTAATAATTGTTGTTTCTGATATTAGAAGACATACGATATATCAGATATAATAATTAGTCTACTATAGATACTTTGTAATATAGATTGAAGTACATGTGTGTGTATATATATAAATAAATAAATAAATATATATATATATATATATATATATATATATATATTATACACATATTAGGATCTGATTTATGTTATGTGGCTGATGAAGGTACATTGGGGTTTCTGGGCCGGTGGACCACCCAGCCTCTGGTCGTTGTGGTACATCAGAGCCGGCAGGGCACCGCATTCCTTCAAGAGTGCAGTGTGCGGCTTAGGGCTTTGGATGCAAAAGTCGAGGGTCAAAAATATCAGGATCAGCCCTCTAAACCCTAAACCCCTATACCCTAAACCCTAAAACTCTAAGGTTTTGGGACTATACCCTTCAGGGTCCAATTACCCAAATACCGGGGTGTCAGGTCCCAACTGCAAAAGCTAGTGTAGTGCTAAAGGGAACCCCGAACCCCAAGGCAGCCCTACCTTTCTCCCGGCCGCTACTTGAAGGCTCATGGGACTTAGTAAGTAAGGGTAGAAGTAGGTTATAATTAGGATAACCCCACTTAGGGGACTTATAACCCCAATTATAACCTACTTACTAAGTCCCATGATCCTCTAAGTGCCAAGCAAGCTCAAGGGCCCTTTGGCCACGAGGTGAGCCAAAGGGCGGCAGAACACTTTCCCAGAGGGTCCAAGTACTCCCTATTGTAGGACTTTAGGGCCTTTTTAGGTACCAGAAACCATAAATAGAAACTACTTGGACCCTTAGGGTTTGGGCAAACGCCAACGAAGGCAAAACCTAGTCTTCACACCAACAACCTTTCAGACCCCGTCCCCCGAGCCCTAAATCCTGAAACACAAAACCTGACATTATAGAATACAGTCCTTGAACAGTAGGATCCTTATTATAAGGACCCAAATTAAAGTACCCCTAATTTTTCGTCGTTCCTGATTAATTACGGCTATTCTATGGTCTAAACATATGCGAAAAATGCAACCCAACTATGAAGGCCCGTGTATTAAACCACTTGAGCGCTACATCACCCATGGGCCCCATAGTACTTCCTTTTTGGGATTACCTTATAGAATTCTAGATATGGAGCCCAAGAAGGAACCACTATGGGGCCTATGGGCAAAGCATCCGTCGATGACCCCTTCTGCGCCTGCAGATAGCATGCAGCCAGCATGGCCTGAGCGGCTTAGGCCAGAGAGGTTAAAATATAGCACTCAGAATAATTAGAATAGGGTTCCTTTAAACTTTAAAGGGGCTCCTTAAAGGGTTGCTATAATGGATCTGTCAGGGTAGTATGATGTGGGGGCCTTAATAGTCAATTAGGATAGGGTATAGTATACAAGCATTTTAGTAAGGAGCCACCAAAATACTGTTGATGGACAAAATCCTGCATTACCCATTATAAGGTATATACCATAATTCCCATAGTTTAGCGTCCTTAGGGTCATGCAGGATCTTGTCCATCAGCAGTAGTATTGGTAACCGTTATATTAAGGGCCTGGGGGTTCAACTGAGTTCTTGTTCAGGGTCTTAGACTAAGTTGCCATAATGAAGACATCATTCTGTTCAACTAGGGTACCTGAACTTAAACTTCTTAACAAGAACACAGTCCAGCGTGGGTCTGGATTTGCATAAATTTAGAATTCAGCAGTACAGGCTCGAGGTGCAGGACATGTTAGAACACAGAAACCGTAGACACCCTTTCAGTGGTGGGACAGCAAACACACCGACTCTTTTGGTAATTAATCTGTGGGTTTTTCAGTGTAGGCATCATAAAGAACACTACGGAATAACATGTGGTGATCATTCAGGCTTCCATAGGAGTCCTCTCATTGCATCTTGCAGTCATGCCGTCCTGAAGGCCATAAAAAGAGCTTATATATCCGAAGCTCTACAAGTAATTACCATGAACTCTACTTCCTGGCTTCCTGATGCCTGAACCCCAATGCACCGCAACTCGTGAACCCTAAACTGCAATCGGTAGCCTGCTTGTACTGAACCACTTCACCATCATGAACCTAGCGTCCCCCCTGGGTAGAATCTCCAGGACGTGAACTTGCTTAGAAAAGGGCCCATTCACACAACCTGGTGGAGTTGCTCACTCGCACGCAGGCTGGCGAGGCACTTGGTGGCTTTCCCGTTCTGACTTCCTTTCTCTTGCTTACTGACTTAGGACAGCTGCTAAACTTCCGGTTCCTAGAGTTCAGACTGTGCCTACTTGTCTTCCTTCTCTTTATACATCAAAAACAACACGAAACCCATGTGTCAAAAGTAACCTAGAAATCCGAAACCCCAGCCTGAAACTCTAGGCTCTACGCGTGACACGTGCAACCTCGACTGGCTGGGCAACCCGACCCATCCGTAAGAGCTGAGCGACCCGTCTTTGGCGCTGTGGATGGCCTGGACTCGGGTATGGTTTGGGAGTTTAGGTCCCCCAAACCCTAAACCCTAAACCCACTAAACCCCTGCAACCTAAACCCCGAAAACGTAAACCCTAAACCCTAAACCCCTGACCCTAAACCCCAACCCAATCTACCTAAACAAAGCCCTTAACCCTGGACTTAGAATGCCCTCCAGATACGGTTTACAGTTAGGCAAATCCTTCTTGCAGCCGGCTACGAGAAGCCAGAGCTTGCGGACCTCGAAGCCAAAGAGCTACACGAAGTGCAAGATGAAACGTAGCTGTATCAAGCAGGACTTTAGGGGATGTACGATGTCTTAATTCCTATCACGGAACTGTTTCATGGGATTTTGCCACACAAGTGTAGCTAAGACTGCTTGAATGTCCGCCTAGCCGTGCGCATGCTGTTCGCCCTGGCAGAACGCTCCTGTATCTTATCCGCAAAGACGACTCTGCAGACAGTTAGTATAGGAGCACATTGGCGATTAAGGCAGTGTTGTTTCAAAAACAGCCGGTAGCACTGCTCGAACTTCATTGAATCACCTGCGAATGTCAAGACTCGCATCTGAGCCGGACTAGAATGGCTTCGGGAAATTCAGCTTTGAATCTCTCCTACTGACAAACTTGTAAGAGAAGCAGCTCTGCCCGACTGGGTTGTCATGTTTCGTGAAGTAGACTTTAACACTGCCTCAAGAATGGCAGATCAACTGGCCCTATCATCTGACGTAAAACCTGCAGCAACTACTTGCGGATCCGAAACCAGTCCAGAACAACAATGTACCTTAATATATTATAGCATATCAGACTCACTGTGGCCTAGCCCCATCATGTGGCAGGTGACTGCAAACGCCTGAACCAAGCTGCACATTCTCCATTTCCGAGACACTGTCCATCAGGCCGCTGCATGATGAGGAGGAGGGAGCAGTCCGGTTCTGTACTGTACATGTCTCACACACGCACCAAGCTTCAAAACTCTTGTTTGGTGCTTAGGCCCTCCAATATGCCACCTCAGGTTGGAAAATTGCAGAGAATGGTAGAGTTCACACGGGCACATAAAGTTCATGAGAATTGTGAGGGCGGGCTGAACACAAGCTACGCAATGTAGCCTTGTACATCTTCCAGAAAGCCGTGCAAGAGCCATGGTTTTCATCTACAGACATGTTGCCTAAGACTTCTGTCATCGGCAAATCTTCATGACCCTCAAATGTCACTCATTACAAGTATTGTCAACGTTCCCTATTTGCTAACATTACAATACTCTGAACAATGTACTCTGTTCATATTCCTTCGAGTGCACCTATTTGCACTTTTTTCATACTTGCATGAAATCACGATGTTCATCATATTCCAGGCGGCTAAGAGGCTGCAGCATCCAGTGATGTGCTTGTGTTGGCTAACAAATGCTAACAGTCACTCCTCGAAACTGTCGTTGCTTTTGGATGCTCTGGGTTTGCGTAGTCTGCTTTTGCACTTGTGAGCCTGCGATCCTCGAAATTGTCGCCGCCTTTGGATTCTCCGGGATTGCGTATGCTCGTGACATGCAAAACTGCCACCGCTTTCAGTAGTGGTATTAATAGTAGTAGTAGTAGTAGTAGTAGTAGTAGTAGTAGTAGTAGTAGTGGTAGTAGTAGGAGTAGCAGTAGTAGTAGCGGTAGCAGTAAAGCAGTAGCAGTAGCAGTAGCGGTAGCAGTAGCAGTAGCAGTAGGGGTAGCAGCAGCAGTAGCAGTAGAGGTGGCAGGAGCAGTGGCAGTAGCAGTAGTAGAAGTAGTAGTAGTTGTTGTTGTAGTTTAGTAGTAGTAGTAATAGTAGCAGTAGCAGTAGCAGGAGTAGTAGTAGTAGTAGTAGTAGGAGTAGGAGTAGGAGTAGGAGTAGGAGTAGTAGTAGTAGTAGTAAAAATAAAAGTAATAGTAATAATGTAAAACTAATAGTAATAGTAGTAGTAATAGTAATACTAATAGTAATAGTAATAGAAATAGTAATAGTAATAGTAATAATAATAATAGGAATAGTAATAGTAATAGTAATAGTAATAGTAATAGTAATAGTAATAGTAATAGTAATAGTAATAGTAATAGTAATAATAATAGTAATAGTAATAATAATAGTGATAGTAATAGTAATAGAATAATAGTAATAGTAATAGTAATAGTAATAGTAGTAGTAATAGTAATAGTAATAGTAATAGTAATAGTAATAATAATAATAGTAATAGTAATAGTAATAGTAATAGTAATAGTAATAGTAATAGTAATAGTATATAATAATAATAGTAATAGTAATAGTAATAGTAATAGTGATAGTAATAGTGATAGTAATAGTAATAGTAATAATAATAATAGTAATAGTAATAGTAATAGTAATAGTGATAGTAATAGTGATAGTAATAGTAATAGTAATAATAATAGTAATAGTAATAGTAATAGTAATAGTAATAGTAATAGCAAAAGGAATAGGAATAAGAATAGCAATAGCAATAGCAATAGCAATAGCAATAGCAATAGTAATAGTAATAGTAATAGTAATAGTAATGGTAATAGTAATAGTAATGGTATTAGTAATAGTAATAGTAATAGTAATAGTAATAGTAATAGTAATACTAATAGCATTAGTAATAGTACTAGTAGTAGCAGTAGTAATAGTAGTAGTAGTAGTAGTAGGAGCAGCAGCAGGAGCAGGAGCAGGAGCAGGAGCAGGAGCAGGTGCAGCAGCAGCCGCTAGCAGTAGCAGTAGCAGTAGCAATGGAAGTGGCAGTGGCAGTAGCAGTAGCACATATATATATATAAAAGGTATATACATACTGTAGTAATACCACGCACACACTGCACATACATATATACTCATATTTATATCCTATTTGCCATCTTGCAGTTTTCCGTACAGCTGAGGCAAAGGACTCGGCGTACTGGGGGTGAGGTGTTGCGAAATCTGTAGAGCGGCTGAGTCTCAGTTGAAAAGACGCCACCAAGTTCCACAAGTACTGTGATTATGTATATTATGATGATTTTTATTGTTCTTATTATTACGAACACTACGATTTTCAGAACTATCATTACATTATTAGTATGACACTTGTTGTTCATATTATGATCATCATTACCATGATTAAGGAATCCATTGCCTAGTGCACTCAAGTTCAAGCCCACGTACGTAACGGTTTAAGGTGAGCAGGCAAGACATATATTTCAATTTCTATATCAAGCCTAATGTCTACTCGGAACCCGGTGGGATGCTGAGACTGTGCCTGGCGAGCGGCGAGCCCAAAGTCAGTGAGTGCTGTTCCCGAATCTCCGCCGTCAGAGGCTGATGCTGGCACATGCGAAAACATCATCCTCAACCTGTCATGACTATGTTGTTGTTGTACTACTACTACTACTACTGCTACTACTGCTACTACTACTACTACGACTACTGCTACTACTACTACTACTACTGCTACTATTACTACTAGCCTACTAGCCACCCCCACCCCCTACCAACTACACTTGTTCCATCCGGGCTGGGCAGCGGTAGCTGCTAGGCGCCTTAACTGCGACAGTTGCAGAAGATGCACGGGCTCAAGCTCCCTATCTGCGACAGCTGCAGAAGTTGCAAAGGATCAGTTTCCGTAACTGTCACAGCCGGTGAAGTTGCAAGGGCTCAGGCCCCAAAACTGCGACAGCAGCCGGAGTTGCAAGCTCGACGGGGAAGAAACTGCTAAACCGCAGGTGGTCGGATAGTACGAAAACGCTGTAAATACCGTGCAAAACCCAGGTGCTGCCAGGAAGGGTTTCACATTTCTAAAACCTGAAGCGCAACATCTTCTAAACATCCAAAACAAAGATGCCAACTGTACGTGGGAGGGGCTCGCCAACACCCCTACCGCCCAAACTCGGCGTAGGAGGGTCTGCTTTTGAAGTGGTGTGTGTGTGTGTGTGTGTGTGTGTGTGTGTGTGTGTGTGTGTGTGTGTGTGTGTGTGTGTGTGTGTGTGTGTGTGTGTGGGTGTGGGTGTGGGTGTGGGTGTGGGTGTGGGTGTGGGTGTGGGGGTGTGGGTGTGTGGGTGTGTGGGTGTGTGGGTGTGTGGGTGTGTGGGTGTGTGGGTGTGTGGGTGTGTGGGTGTGTGGGTGTGTGGGTGTGTGGGTGTGTGGGTGTGTGGGTGTGTGGGTGTGGGGGTGTGGGTGTGTGGGTGTGTGGGTGTGTGGGTGTGTGGGTGTGTGGGTGTGTGGGTGTGTGGGTGTGTGGGTGTGTGGGTGGGTGGGTGGGTGGGTGGGTGGGTGGGTGGGTGGGTGGGTGGGTGGGTGGGTGGTGTGTGCGCGCTTGAGTGTGGAAATATTGTTCAGGGCGTCCGCAGAACAGTGTCGTGAGCATCCCCGAAGAAGCTTTCCTCAACCCAAATTCGAGTTTTGTTGCAAACAGTTCGAAACAACAAACGTTAATACGCATAGTCGAGAAGTAGGGGCTCAGAATATGTAACAAAGTCCGACATCACGAAAGTACTGTAAATACCGAGTAAAACGGTTCTTGTGGTGATGCTGTTGGGTGTGTTCGCGTAACACTGTCGTCATCATCCCCCCCACCCCCCCACCCCCGCCCAGAAGCAAGCCCAAAATCAAGAGCCCGAGTTTGCAAACTCGACAAGTCGATTTTGAAGCCTCTTATGATGATCGCACATGAGGAAAGTGCCGCAAATACCGAGTAAAATTGATGTTGTTTTAACATGGTTAAGAGCAAGTGTAGTTGGTAGGGGGTGGGGGTGCCTACTACTACTACTACTACTACTACTACTACTACTACTACTACTACTACTACTACTACTACTACTACTACTACTACTTCTACTACTACTACTACTACTACTACTACTACTACTACTACTCCTACTACTACTACTCCTGCCGCCGCCGCCGCTACTACTACTACTACTACTACTACTACTACTACTACTAAATACTACTACTGCTATGATGATGATGATTATGATGATGATGATGGTAGATACAAGTCTGCACATATTGTTCGACAGATTTTGACTATTAGCTCAGTTTGAAAGCTACCTGAAAGGTGGTTGTGTGTTATTTTGATGTTTTGTGGCTTGCGGGCTAATTATTGCAAAGTTATTGCCCACGGCAGTGGCATGGCGAAGATTATCGCATCATTGTCTGCATTTGTGTCCTCGCAACAGCTCCACGATTGGAGGCCCAAAACAAACACTAAGCATGCTGAGACTACCAGACTACATGCTAATGAAGAGTTTCACCCTTGCGGGTTCAGCATTCACGCCGCCTTCTTTTGCAGAATGAATTCTCGCTGCTTGTGCCAAATCACATGCCAAAACTCACCTGGATGTTTGTATACCTTGCCAGGAAAATGCATAATTAATGACATTGAATTGGGCATCCTTCGAGGAGCAGCAGTAGTGCTCGCGAAGCTTCTACTCTCCTACTCTCGCTGGCACTGCGCCCAAGGCACAAGGTACACGCGCAAGATCGGGCCAGAGCTAGCACAGGTGGCTCAAACTCATGCGCCGAACTCAAGAGCGGTGCGACTAGCCCCAGACTTGAGCCTTGCTGATGTAGAATCAGGCAGAAATTGTGGGTTTGTACTGGTTGAAGCTTGAGCAGGTAAGATTCAAGTTCTTAGGCCCCTGCTAGACTGCTAGACCATGGCACAATGAAGGTCTAGACCTGCATGCTCAATTATACAGGCGGCGACAGATCCGCAAGTACACATCAGCGAAAGGCCACGCTTGAGGGTATTTTTCAAACCTCAACGTAGCAAAACCAATTGGGCAAGGCTTCAAATCTCCCTTGTCTTTGTCGCGATCCAATCCAGGGAAATCACGAAGCTGCGACCCCTCGCATGCTGTTACAGGGCAGTGATTGCACTGGTTTGTTCCGCAAAGCATATACTTTGACAGCTTCTCAGGATCACCTGCACCGGCGTCTACCTTATATTTAAGCTCATATGCGCTACCGTCATGCTCGTTGGGCGCGAGGATAAGAGCTCGCTCTTTCCACACGTTCCTGCCTCCCACGATGTCAATGCTGCCAATGTCATCGTTGTCGCTGACAGAATCCTTGAGAAGCTCAGGCTTTGCAAGACAATCCACGAAAGCGCGGGACCCGCATCCTAGGACGAATGCAGTACCCCCGCTACTGTAAGCCAGGCATCGACCTCAATGAAAGACACCCGAGCACGGCCCCGGAAGGAAACGTACTTGAAGATTCCTCTCTTCTGCCCGGCTGACATGGTTTCACGAAGCACGTCCTGAGCCGAGAATTGGGACCCCTTCTACCAGACTTATTGCACCTTATCGTTCAGCTGCTGTCTTACATGTCCAATAAACCGAAAACGGGACATCGTTCCAGATCTTCTCCCAGCTTCGATGCCATCAACTTTGAGCAGCAACTGGTCATCTTGCCCAGCCCACGTCTTGTCATATATGTCTAAAATCGCGGAAACTTCGTCGGAACCCCAGCCGGCCAATGACCAGACGGTTTCGTACGAAAGAGGGTCGAAGCCATAGACCACGCCGTTTACAATCACCTTGTTCAATTCCTGGGCTTTTAAGTAACCAGGGAGAAAAAAGCATACACTTTTATTTCATAAGGGTTCCTTTAAGAAAAATTAAAAGTATTAAAGCATGGTACTCCAAAGCCCAGATTCCAGCAATTGTGGCACCATCTGCAGCATGGTCATATAGGGGTCCGTGTATCCATCGTAGAGCTTTCTGGCCACAAGATACGCAGCCTTGAAGACATCGTCAAATCCTGATGCTGGCTTCTGACATTTGACATCAAGCAATGTGAGCCGGTCTGTCGAGAAGCGTTTCAGGTAGAGGTCGGTGTTGTGATGGGAACCATCGCAATCGTAGTTGTCGGTGTGATCTTGGAGGATACAATCCCCAGGTTTGCGAGCACCTGATCCACCGTATGCTACGCCGTATTCAAATGCAACACAGTGCCCTTCATTGTTGCACTCAGCACGGCAATCAGCGAGAGACCTCTGCCCAGCGTGACGGAGGTTGTGACCGTTAACACATTTTCGAGGCATGTGTGCGTAGCCACCCACATCTGGTGGAACCTTGATGTACAAGTCCAAGTTCCAATCTTGACCCCTGCAATTCGAAGGATCGTTGGAAGTCTGCAGATGGCAGTCATAACGCCGAAATCTGGGATTGGATGAGCCTTGATCGCGATAGTACTCAAAAGCCTCGCACCTCCAATCAGCATTGCACAATCTGCTGCACTCTTCCCGACTTTTGTCATGCACCAGCCGGAGGTTGTGGTCAGAAACGCACCCCGACACCACGAGCTCATAACCACTCACTGGTTTCGGGCTATTCCCCCAGCCCCATCTTGAGACCTTCGAGCGCTTTGTGTAGAGATTGTACCCCTTGGTCCCGGATTTGCCGTCACAAGAGATGGCGTTGGAGGCGTTGGAGACATTGTCCGTGTTCAGCAAGCACCCTGCTCGAGCATTGCGGTTGTGGCCTGCTTCATGTGCGAAGGCATCACAGGCTGGGTCTGCATTGCAAAGGGTCTTGCAGTCATCCAACGTCCGATTAAGCACCTGGATTGGGCGACCCACCTCACAACCTTCTGTCTGGAAGTAGCCGTCCACCTCTGCCAGACTCAAGTTGCGTGGGAAAGTTGGCTTCTCTGGATTCCCTGGCTTAGCTCCAAGGAAATCAGATGCATCGCAACCATGGAGCAGAATGCTACAAGCACACAGTCTCCACAGCACCACGCGGGCCGAACTCATCATGTGCTTTGAGGGCTTCACGATTGGAGCCAGGAACGTTGTCTAGGCACAAGAATACTTTGGAATTTGGGCCCGTGCGAACACACGAAGCTCTGCATGCAGTCGCCGATTTACTTATGCAGTCGTCGCCTCCAGCATGAACTTCTTGTGGAAAAGGTGAGAAGGCTTTGAAGAGGCTCGTGCTTACTGTAGCCCACTTAGACCCATCATGAATTTAAATTAGCATTGAAGTAAGGAAAACATCTTCAACACGCAAGCAGAAGGCCTAATGTGTACCTTTTGACATACTCTCTAGATGTTGGGCCCTGTGCACTCGAAATCGCTGAAATTCTGCAAGATATCTCGGTCAGCCCCAATATTTAGCACGAAACCTCCACGCCCAAAGTGTCCAACGTGATGGTCTGCAGATTGTATTCTCGGATTTAGAGCAACTCTGACAGGAACTTGGGCACCTTGGACCCTCAACCCTAAACCCGAAGAGCTAAACACTAAATGAACACCCCTGAACCCCTTGATGGTCGACGCCGTCTGCTTCGCCCACAAAAAAACTTTATCGTACTCTTAAAGATACCCATAAAGGAATGCTGATCTAGCATCCTTATGGAACCTTTTACCGTACCAATCGAGTCGACTCCCGAAAACCCCTCGTCGGAAGGCCTTGGACTTTACCCAATGCCTCGCAGCTGGCAGTGAGTATAGAGGATTACGATTTAGGGTTTAGGGCTTAGAGTTTAGGGTAGGGTTAGGATTTGTAGGGTAGTGTTTGGTATAGACTATACGCCCCCTGGAACCATAATAAGACTACTATCTTTAGGAATTGTGTGTTATATGAAAAAATGCTACATAGTCCCTAAGGGACTATAGTATAGGATTAGGCTTATTTGAAAGGATCCTGTCAGGGTGCCTTGAAGGGTATCTTTTCAGACTTCCTTTAAGGGTTCCCGCAGGGCTTGCTTAAGGCTTTAAGGCTGCTTTGTGCCACGGTTGATGATATGAATCCTGCATTACACTCTTAAGCAGTATACCATAATACCCAAAGTCTAGGATAAGGTAATGCAGGATTTATATCATTGGCCCTAGCGGTCCCAAAAGTGACCGATCTACGTTTTCAGATTCTTCCGATGGTCTGCCTAGTCAGGCTGGGGAAACCAGTTCGCTAGAAAGGGTGCTGGAGTTCGGGGTGGGAGGGCTTTACGGCTTTTAGGTGTATCATCCGAAGTGTCCTAGGCCGAACGGCAGGCGAATTCTTCGGTGTGGGTGTGGATTACGATTGCTCCTAGCATTCCAAGCGCAGAAATACCCACAATGCGAGATCCTCCTGTACAGCCAGTCTGCTCCGGCCACAGTGGAACCAACAGCCGATGTCAGACTAGGTCGGCCCCTTAAAGCCTTGAAAAAATGCTCGTAATTAGATAAGATCCTCTCAGGCCCGATAAGGGAACATATGTTAGAAGCTGCCCCCACCCTGTAATAGTGACTATAATAGTGACTATAAGGGTTATATTAGGGCCCTATTACATTCCTATTATACCACTATTACAGGGTGGGGGCAGCTTCTAAAACATATGAAACGTCCCGAAGGCCTGCCTCGCGGACTTTAGCAGTAATTGGTACAGAGTTCAAGAGCCGTCAAAGCGAAAAGCCCCCCAATCCACGTATCCAAAGCTCAAAATGCATCCGAGGACTGGGCCCTAGATGTCTGAAATATCTACTCACCAAAGGTTTGGTAGGTAGGGTCCTCGCAGACAATCTCATTAAAGCCCCAAACTCCACTTCCGGGATCTGAATTACGATGCCGAAGCCCCGGAGAATTCCTCGAACAGGTGCACGAAAACGCCACGCACCAAACACATAACATTCCCTACTAAGCACCAGGGAGTCTTGCTGCGCATCCTAAAACCTAAACCCTAAACCCTAAAACCCTGAACCCTAAACCCTAAAAGCCGGAAAACCAGGCAGAGTTGCTTGATCAAGCGGATCAGAGCCCGTAAGCGACCGGGGAATCCACCTAAGACGCCAAAGCTTCTCATGGCTGCCGATTGCAAGGGTCAAAGAACCGCAGCACGGGTTTGTATTTAATGCATCTGTGTGTATGTGTATGTATGTACGTACGTACGTGCGTACGTAGGTATGTATGTATGTATACATGCCGGTATTGCGTGCTTTGTCTGTCTTTGCTTGTTTCTTTGTTTGCTTGCTTGCTGGCATGTGTGTGTGTGTGTGTGCGCGAGTGAGTGAGTGTGTGTTTGTGTCTCTGTGTGTGTGTCTGCATCTCTGTCTGGCTCTGTCAACACCTGTCTGTGTGTCTGTGCGGCTGTCCGCCGCCTCGGTCTCTTTCCTCCTAACAGTAGTAGTAGTAGTAGTAGTAGTAGTAGTAGTAGTAGTAGTAGTAGTAGTAGTAGTAGTAGCAGCAACAGCAGCAGCAGCAGGAGTAGTAGTAGAAGTAGAAGTAGTAGTAGTAGTAGTAGTAGTAGTAGTAGTAGTAGTAGTAGTAGTAGTAGTAGTAGCAGGAGTAGTAGTAGTAGTAGTAGTACTAGTAGTACTAGTAGTAGTAGCAGTAGCAGTAGCAGTAGCAGTAGCAGTAGCAGTAGCAGTAGCAGTAGCAGTAGAAGTAGCAGTAGCAGTAGCAGTAGTAGCAGGGTCTCTTTCCTCTTTGCCTGTCTCTGAGTCTTTCCGTGCACAGGTGCGCGTGTTTGCTCTGTCAGCTCAGAGTCGGAGCACCCGTGTCTGCGTGTTTGCGATGGTTTGCCTATGTTCCTGGGTCTGCGAAGCTATGTCGTTGTGTCTCTGCGTTTCTTTGTTCTCGTGTATGCATATTTCATCTTATCATGTTATATGCGTGTATGAACACAAATTTTTTTGCATGTATGTATGTGTGAATGTATGTATGAATATCTGCATGTATGTGGGGAGAGAAAGGGAAAGAGAAAGAGAGAGAGAGAGAGAGAGCGAGAGATAAAGAGAGACATAAAGAGAGCGGCATGCAATTTCATGGACGTTTCCCCCAACCCATGCACATACCCACGCACCTGGATTACCAAGTCTACAAGCTTGTGCGGACCTTAATAACCAATGACCCGCCCCCCCCCCCCCCCCCCCCCCAAAAAAAAAAAAAAAAAAAACAAAAAAACAACAAACGCATCATAGTAAGGGCCTGTACCTTTACGATGATATTAACCCATGTATGGTGTATGTGTATGTATGTATATATATGTATATATATATATACACGGCTGATGATATGAATATTGCATTACCTTAATGACCCTAGACTATGGGAAGTATGGTATAATCCTCACTATGGAAAATGCAGGATTTGTATCATCAACCGTATGAACCTTAAACACTTTCGTCCCTAAGGGAGCTTCCAGAGCTTCGAACTCGTCTGAGGCAAAGGCTGGCGCAAAGGTCCCTCAGATGCCATGAGTTGAGCACCCCAAAGGGCTGCTGCACCTCGCTTCTGTCTTGGAGTCTACTTGAAGGCTCATGGCACTTAGTCAGTAAGGTTATAAGTAGGTTATAATTAGGATAACCCCACTTAGGGGACTTATAACCCCAATTATAACCTACTTACTAAGTCCCATGATCCTCTAAGTAAGGCTAAGGTTGAGAGCAAAGAAAAGGATCCCATTGCACGCTTGATGCTGCAATATCGGGCCTGAAATCGTAATCAGAATAGGGTCTTGTGGCATATCATCAAAATCATGGTAGTGGGACCGAAAGCGAACTTTAATATTCAGACCCCTGTGCTCTAGGGAATGAGGGGTGCGAGCTCGGTGCTGTGGGGTCTCTTGGAAGCCCGACAGCTGTATTAGGGATGCCAGGGGACTTCAAGACAAATTAGTCCAATGTTTGCGTGTATCTATTCCCGTTAGAGAACCGTCAGAAGAAGAGAGTGTTGGGTTTCATGGTTAAAGGCTCTTAGGACTTGGGGCCCTTGGGGCTTGAAGGCATTTCTGGTGCCGTCATGGTTTAGGGTTTAGTGTTTAGGGTTTAGGCACCGCTAACAGCTGCTCTGCCCCATGCTCTGGGACTTGGGACGAGAGATTTCTGGAGCGGATGCCCCAACTAGACCCTGCGACCCGAATCCGAGTTTAGATCCTGACCGGCAGGACCTCTTAAAATCCCCAACACCCAAGATGCAAATCCTATTCCCTGGACCCTACACTTCACATCTGCATCCTAGACCCGAATCACCAAGCCGTAAACCTTGAAACCCAAATCTTAATCCGTACTATATTAGGACCCCCTAGTTTCGGAAACTCCCCCATGTGTTTAGAATAGGGTTGGGGCAATCATCGCCGACAAAGTCAATCTCGGGAGCTGACGCTGACGTCAACGTCCAGCTCCTGTATTCCCAGGGCTCGATGATGCTCAGAATGTTCTTTCATGTAAGAACCTGAAACCCCTGACTCCTTGACCTCAACTGAAACAGGATAATATGGTAAACGATGGCTGCCTTAATTTATCATTGCAATACGGTTTTGGCAGTGCAATATAGCAGAATTAAACATCATAATTAAGGAACCCTAGGAAATTCTATTGGTAATCCCTAGGGCTCCGGGACTCGTTACCTAAATAGTAGGTTACTGGGGTACATACTATATGGCTAGTAACCTACTATCTAGGCAACTGGAGCCCTAGGGAACTGTTCCGTCCTCTACTATAGACGCCTTTAATTAGAATCGGGTTTTGGTGCCCATGATACTATCGTTAAATATATGTATACATATATACATAATGTATATAGGTATGTATATGTATGTATGTATGTATATATATATATATATATATATATATATATATATGTATATACATATGTGTATATATATATATGTATGTATGTATGTAAGTATGCAAACATATGTATATTAAGACACCTCCAAAATCGTATTGGCAATTATCTAAATTTAGGCCCCTATAATACTACATTGTCATGGCCAAAATCTCTATTATAGGATCCTAACCATAAAACTGGTTAACCAAAAAAAAGAACAACGATG